TAGGAATTTCGATAGAGGTTTTCAATCTAAATTTCAAGAAGTTTTCCAGTGAGAAACCATTTTAACGGGGCCGGCAAGCCATTTGCGACTTCGGGGGAGGCAATTTTGTCATGTTAGAAAAAGACGCTGCGCAGAATCCCCCGTTAAAGGGACAGTGACAGCAAGGTCAAGCAGCTGTCTCTCCCTCTTTCACTAGTTACAGTAAAACAATTTAATTCTTTTTCTAAGCTATAAAAACTATGAACTTCACTTAAAGGTACCGTAACCAAAAAAATACCAAAAAAATCAAGCTCGACGCTGTATAAATTGGCACATTTCCAATTCGGGGGATTAGGCGCGGCCCGATAGGATTACCACCCCATCACGGCCGATGCCCTGATGTGAGGCCGATGAAAAAAAGCACGCACCGCGCATTTTGTAAATCGAAATTGGGCAGCCAGGCAACAGATTTTTGAGACCGTTTTGGGGGGTTTTGGATCTACATTTTTGTTGTAACTCGTATCTTTATGCCAAGTTGTTTTTTTTCTAAAATTCATTTAACTGTCTGTTTGTCTGTCTGTCTGTCACCTTTTTGTCTGTCTGTCTATCTGTCTGTCCATCCAAAAAAAGAGAAAGCCTTCGTGTGTGTATGTGTGTTTGTGCGTGTGTGCAATCTTCTGTCTCTAAATCGAATCGTGGCTTTCCCCCATCCCCGAAACGGCCTGCTGCTCCTGGGGGGCTCCCCCTCCTCCTCCTCCTCCTCCCTGTGGCCAAGGGCATACTCAAGCGGAAAATGCACCTCTCTTTTCGGGGGGAGGTTGAGGCTGGGACGGGGGAAAAGCCCGGCCGGCAAACAGCCCCATCAGAGTCACCGTCGGGTCTCTCCGTCCGGAAAACACTTGGCTTCAATTTAACACTCGGCTTGTAAGTTTGGAAAGCGGGTATTTTTTGATGGGTGCGTCTTCCGTATTTTGTCTAGAACATTTATTATTATTAGTGAATTTTCTTGGAAGGGCTTAAAGGGAGTGTGACAGATGAATGATACCCTGTCGACACCTTTTCCTTTTTTCTATATGATTATCTCTTTTGTCTCTATGTTTTCAGCAGCCGTTTTTTATAAAGACGGATTACACTATTTAGCATAGAGAATTTAATACTATTAATTGTATCTAACATGCCTAAAGGGAGTGTGACAGATGGTTTGACCTACTTTGCGCTTTTCACTGTCTTATGTAACATATTTTTTTCTATTTCTCCCATATCCAAAAATTGTTAATTCTGAGCGGCCACCAAAACAATCGCGCGTTACTAAACGTTCCATAAATTGTTTACTTCGTTGTAGTTTGTAGTCTATGATATATTTTTTGCGGGATTTTCCGAGTTATAATCAAATCGTAGATTTTAGATTTTTATAAACATTTTGGAAATCTATAAGACGATTGTAGTCTGTAATTTATGCTCATTTTGCCGAATTTTCCAAGTTTTATGGTAAAACTTTAGTTTTTTTTATAAAAACGTGTCCAACTGATGTATATTTTTGCTATCCTCGCATACCCTCCTGCTAAAAGCCATTTTTTCATGTCGGGTTTTCGGTGACCGAGGCCGAGCTTGTCCTTTTCCCCCCATTTGCCACACCAAAGCGGTGTCGAATTTCCGGGCAGCCTGGGGGGAGGGGATTTTCGGCTTCTCCCCCCGAAAAACACATTGTTATCCGGTCAAATGTTGCCCCGGGATTGTCTTTCTTTCGTGGTGATTCACTAGGGGCTTTAGTTTGTTTCTTACGGATTTTTGGAGGTAGCGGCCGAACAAAAGTAGTTTTAAATAGGTTTTTCAATTTGCAAAATACCAGCGTCACTTGTAATTATTTATTTCTAATTTTTACTGCAGACTTTCGTCACTTTACCCTCCCCCGTTAAATCACTTGTACCGAATTCCGCCCCTAAATTCGAACTTCTCCTCGATTTTTATACCCTGGAATTTGCTTAGGTTTTTGGAGATCTCGTTCTTTTGAAGAGAGATGCGGGCCCGGGGCGGTTTGACGTTTACAAATTGGGCCACATCTCAGGCCGCCGAAAAGTGAAGGACGGGCGAGGAAAGGGGGGGGGAACGGCTTCTCATAAAATGTTACCGCAATTTCCGGGAGGAGGAGGAGGGAAACGTTTTAGGGTTTAAAAAGTTTCACGTTGATCTAAGGCATCAAGCTATCGAATTTTCACTTGAGAAGGAGCACCGCGGTTATTTTATTGGTTTTTTAACCTGCTTATTGTTTTTAAAGGAAAAATCGAATGGAATAAATAAATCGAGTTCGACGATTCCCCTCCCGTAAAATTGTTTTTTTTTTTTGCGGGAAAATATGCTTTCCTTATCCTTTTGAGCCTACAATAGATCGCTCGTCTAATGATCCCCATAACCGTATCCCCTCCATCAATCCCAATTTTATTTTATTGCCTCTAAATCTGGAAATAAATCTTATTAGTCGAAAAGATTGGATTCTAAGGGTTCTAAAGACGCGCCAAACGGCCTAGCGACTGTCCAATTCTAGGGCTCACCCAGGAATTGATGGACGATATTGGGTTGCTGGGCCCTAACGGGGGCCACCGATTTCAGTCTGACAGGACAGGGTTTTGAAAATCGTGAATTTCTGAACCTAAATTTGCGCAATTTCAATTTTTTTTCGAATGTAATATACTGTCTAGGGAAATCTTGCGTTTTTCTACACTTGGAGAGGGCCAGTGAAGTCAAATCGATCCCGCTGAAACCTTATCCATAGAAAACCCAATCATTTCTGAATGAAGGAAAGCCCTGTACTTTTTTAAATTGTAGAATTTGCATACCATTTCCGGCCTAAATCATTTCAACCAACGAAACTTTATATCCAGTCTAGACCCAGATTTCAGTGGTGGGCCAAAGCTCTGGCCGTCCGGCCGGCTAGGCAGGAAAGTTATTGCCTGAGGGCCCGTTGGCCACACATAGCCTCCCCCCTCTAACCCTTCTTCAGCCCGTTGGCACCTCCGATTTACGGCATTTTCGCATGCAAATACATATTCGGAACGACCGGAGGGGGGAGGGGGCGGCGGGGGCCTTCAGGGGGCCGCCCGCGCTCAACTTTTGACGCATTACGTTCTTCCTACTGACGGCTGGGAGCCGGTTTTTAGGGTTGATTTTTTAAGGCGTTGGTTTAGGTGTGATTTCCGGGGTTATACGATCGGCGCATTAATAGGAGCTTTCCTAGTTTTCGCTATGATTTTTTAGAAAATTTGAAATTTGTCTTTTTGGACATTTGAAGAATAGAATAGAGACTTGATTTTAAGTCGTAGACTGAAAATTTTCCCCAGATCTTAACGCATTAATGGAAGCATTACCATACACCGGACGAAGCCTTGTCGATGATTTATAGCACTTCCTACCCTTGTATCACCCCGTTCTTTCCTTGATTAACCCCACAAATCGGGTGGCTCGTCGAGCGGATGCCCCTGATGGACGGCCGTTATATGGGCCGGATGCAGAGGAGGGGGAGCAGCCGGCTGCTGTCGAATCTGCATCCATTTGCATCGCTTTGTTACTACCGGGGCGGCCATTCCGGGTGGATACACCTTGAATTAGTGGTTTGACGGGAGTGGACGTAGGCCAGTTGGCTGTAGTTTAGACATACACTGCTCGGAGCTTGATTTTGAATATTTGAGGATACATCTTTCGATTTTATGCGGGGGTCATCGTTTTTCAGATACACGTAGATTTTGGCTTCCAAGCCCCTTTAAAATAAAAAACGAAGCTTTTCTATTCAAGCGCTTTTAATTTTATTATTTTTATAAAAATTTAAGCATTGTTTATTGAAATAGTTTTGAGCATTTTTGGGTAGGTAACTTGATTTTGTAGTTTTAAAAAAATTTGAGCACTTATTTTTGGCATTAAAATATTTTAAAAAATCCATAGATTTATATAATGTAAATTGTATATTTATAAAAGAATTGAAACTAATAATATAGATATTTCTCAACGTTTCTTCTCTCTTTTTCCATTGCACTCCACTAGAACTTTTGCAATATCACCCGGCCATCCGCATCCGAGCCTCGTTTCCGCAAACAAATTTCGCCGGCCCTTTCGGGAATGGATTTTTCTGGCGGGCTCCTCTGTACTTTTATCAATTTTACATTCCTTAATACAACATTAACAATACCAAAGTTACCTGAATTTTCTAATTATAACACGCTGGGGTTTTTTTTGCTCTTTTTTGAGTGTGTCTAGCCGCGGAAGTCGCCCCATTTAAAGTCAGAAAATGGGCTTTTGCCTTTGCCTCCACACGCACACACGTTGGTGTGCCTCCGCTTATTGTCTTTTTGGAGGGCAGCAGCCTCGGAAATTGAGGGCCGTGAATCGGATTACCCTCCTATGCCCTCCATCACCAGCCCAACACACCCAGCTTTTCCACTAATACTTCGTTGGCCTTCAGGTGGCATAATGAGTGTTAGGTATTAGTCATAATTTAAAATATTCTTAGTTTTATAAACTTTTTTAAGGACTGGGCAAGGTTTCGCTATGGATTTTATTGCTTATGGGTTTTCTACAATTTTTTCACGGGGAAATACGATAAAGGGTTTTTAGAAAAACGAAAATGCAAACTACAAACTTCAAGAAATATTTTTCCCAATTTAAAGGCGTTCTCTCTCTTGACTTTAGATTCTAATCAGCCACTTATCTATATCGGCTTAATATTCTTATTTGTATTTCACATCTTCTAAAATAGATAATCGTGCCATGCTGCCTCCTCTAAAACGGTCAAGCTAAATTTTTCCACTCCGATTATTACGCAGATCACGATTTTCCGGACTGTTTCTAAAGTAACATCACAATATTTCCAATGGCTATTCTCTCACTCCCTCTCTCTCTCTCTCTCTCTCTCTCTCTCTCTCTCTCTCTTTCCCTCTGTCTCTCTCTATTTAACATGCTCTCTCTCTACATCCAACATCGCCAAATTTAAATCAGGAGCCACCGGAGCCCTGGGCGATGTGAGGGGAAATGACATGGCTGCACAGTTCACCAAGCTCTTCTCATTCATCCTCGCCAATGTTCACGATCCGGCCGCCCTCGACAGTGCAGGTACAGTAGGACGAGCGGGGTAGGAACTCACTGAAAAAAACGTCGATTAAATGGGGTTCCTTTAAATGGGGGAGGTTAAGTTTACATAAATTTTCACTTATAGCTTTTTTGAGTTACCAGATGGTTACAGTCGCTTCGCGACTGCAACCATCTGGCCTTCGGGCTCCCTACATGTCCCACTCCACCACATCCTTTCCCACCTCCATCAATACCCCCGATAGCCGAAATCCCGTGAAAAACTACCTAAATACCTTCCCGATGGCCTCAGATACCCCCATGGCTGAAATCCCCTTCAAAAACTACCTAAATACCTTCCTGATGGCTGCAGATACCCCGCATGGCTGAAATCCCCTTCAAAAACTACCTAAATACCTTCCTGATGGCTTCAGATACCCCCATGGCTGAAATCCCCTTCAAAAACTACCTAAATACCTTCCTGATGGCTTCAGATACCCCCATGGCTGAAATCCCCTTCAAAAACTACCTAAATACCTTCCTGATGGCTTCAGATACCCCCATGGCTGAAATCCCCTTCAAAAACTACCTAAATACCTTCCTGATGGCTGCAGATACCCCGCATGGCTGAAATCCCCTTCAAAAACTACCTAAATACCTTCCTGATGGCTGCAGATACCCCGCATGGCTGAAATCCCCTTCAAAAACTACCTAAATACCTTCCTGATGGCTTCAGATACCCCCATGGCTGAAATCCCCTTCAAAAACTACCTAAATACCTTCCTGATGGCTTCAGATACCCCCATGGCTGAAATCCCCTTCAAAAACTACCTAAATACCTTCCTGATGGCTTCAGATACCCCCATGGCTGAAATCCCCTTCAAAAACTACCTAAACACTTTCCCGATGGTTTAAGGTACCTCCCCTAGCCGAAATCCCCTTCAAAAACTACCTAAACACTTTCCCGATGGTTTAAGGTACCTCCCCTAGCCGAAATCCCCTTAAAAAAAAACAAAAATAACGACCGACCGGATGGAATGAGAGAAAAAAGAAATGAAATCCCCCGTGAAAATTTTCATCCACGAAACGCGCGCGACCTGGCTCACTATGTCCAAAACTGCCCCAACCTCCGTCCCCCACCCCTTTTACTAAGGGAAAAATTTTCAAAGTTAATTTTAATAATTTAAATGAAAACTTTTCCGTAATTTTTTTATCAGTTTGGGGGTTTCTGATGGCGCTCTATCCGAATCCGAAGAGAGCTAAGCTCTAGCTCCTTTCCCCTTCGAGTTGAATTCGGCTTCACACACACAGACAGACGGACACCACAGCAAAATTATTATAGTAGATTCAATTGGGTCTACGTCACATGGATTTCGTTTTAAAGGAACTATCAAGCATCGCGATGCAGTTTTCCGCACCGCAACACACAACGCTCACAACTTTTGAGAAGCATAATCCATTATGTTATCGAAAACCGGGCGGGTTGCGTGTCGCGGAAGCGATAATGTGCAGAGAAAAGCCATTGTCAAGAGCTTTTTAGCCTTTGAGCTCTTACCCACAACCGGAAATCCAAAATGTGGCACGTTGCACACAAAATTCAAAAACCCAAATCCCCACTCGTAAAAAATTGAGCCCCAAAATCAGAATTCCCGCGGGAGGCCCCCGATCCGGGGGGGGGGGCGACACTTTGGGCTAAATTTGATTGAAGATGACAGATTTTTTGCCGAGTCTCCCGGCTTTTTGGGGTCGCGTTTGATCCGTTGGCGAGTGGTGAAAAATTGGGAATTAGATGGGTTTTTGTCGGGGTATTGAGAGTATTTTTTGCTGGTTTTCTTTATGGATTTTGGGTGGAATACAGTTGGTACGTGTAGTCTAGGAAAAGTAGCTTTAATTTAACATTCGAAAAATTTTATATTAATCCTTTTATATCAATATTGATAGAATATATAAGTGAGCATAAAGAAATCAAGATACTATGCCCACTAAACCACACATTAAAGTGTGGGGTTTTCAAAAAAATTAGGGTTTTCTTTCCTTAAAATCGCGAAAATATGTAAATTAGAGTATAGTCTTCTACCTATTTAACTACGACACTTGATTTAGTTTTATTTGTTAAGCCAAACGCCCCGCAATTTTATTCCAATCCAAAATGACGGAAACCCGCCAAAGGATCGGCAATAAAAACGCGCGTCCCCGCCTCATTATTCCAGCCAAAATTAATTCAGCTGTTTATCGGATTAGGGAAGCCCTGCTGAGGGCACAAAAATGGATTTCCTCCAGCTGAAAAAAGAATCGATCCTCTAATCCGCATCTACCACCAACCATTTCCACCACTTTACTTCCGAGCCGATTTTCGCAAAATCTTTTCCCCGGTGTCAAATCCCGAGGTTTTCTGGGGGTAATCCGTGTTGGTCTTTCCCGCCCTCTACCAATTTTTGCTTCCTTTTTAGTCCTTTTTCAAATCCTTTTTCGATTCCTCCCCCTCCCCCTCCTTGCTTTGACTACTTCATTGGAAAGAGGACGGGGTGGAGAGTGGCATTGGCCACTTTTCAGTCCACGGGTAATTACGTTCCTCCACACTCCCCCCAAACATCCCCGGGGTTTTTGTTTAAAATCCGCGCTGCGTTTTTCGTTTTTGGTCTCTCGTCATTTTTGGGTGGAGCCGCGGCGTTCTCCCGAAAAAGTGGCACTCAAATGTTTTGAAAAACGGCGTTTTTGTAGCTTGTAATTTTTCAACGCCTTCCTTGATTTTTCTTAACCGTTTTTCTTAACAAAACTTGATTTTCAAACCCCATTTTCTACCAAATCCGCGACTTCCAACTCTCCTCTGCTCCCCAAAAAATGTTATGTGGTTGGGGTAAAGTTGATGAGTTGAGGGATTGTGGAAAGGGCCTCTAGGCGGGCCATCCCTGGGCCCCAAGGGGGACCCAGCCGGACGGGGGCCCCTGATTCCGACCATGGCCCCATCACTCTGATTTGCCCCCTTGGCTGCAAAATAGAATCCGTCGAGGGTGCGGCTTCATCGTCGGGGAATTTTTGGTATTTTTTTGCGTTGCCGGGATTTTTGGTCATATAGGGTTTTCTTTTTTGTGTTTATGTGCCGTTGGAATATTAGAATTCTAGTTACCGTATTGAGTTTATATGCGTTTAAAAGGACGGTGCAGTTTTTGAGCTATCAGTTTCTTAGAGATTTTTTTGCGTCCGCGACACGCAACGGACATGTTTCGGCTCCGACAAAATTAATCGAAAAGCCATAGCCTCGAAATCCATGCCCGTTCCTTTAAAAGAAAACTATAAAAGAACGGTAGCGATAGGTTAACCTGCGATATTAATAACTTCTATCTGTAAAAAAAATTATACCATCAAAAACCACACTTTTTAAATTGTCCCACAAAACTCGGCGACCCAAGGTGTATACCCACCTATTAATGCGCATTCCAACAAAAAAACCAGACTTTCACCCCCCTTTCCGGATACAATTTTTTCCCTGAATAAATCGACTCTATGTCAAATTCCATCTCGAAACCCAAAGACGTCTCATCCATTCGGGGGCCCCTAACACTTGGAGGGCCCAGCCATTGGCCACTCCCCTCCCTGTTGGCCCGTTGTTGTCACTCTGATTTTGTCCGCTTCTCGGAGGGGCCGGCTTCTCATTTGCATATCTTCCGCAACACATCCAGGCTCTTTCTTTGCTAAAACGAAAAGATGGGCTCTTGGCGTCTTTACGATTGACCGCTCGTCTGGGTTGTTTAGATCTTAGTTTTAGGAGAGATTTCGATGTTTTAAAAGTTATTTAGTTAACTCTAGCTAGTATTTCTCTCTCTCTCTCTCTCTCTCTCTCTCTCTCTCTCTCTCTCTCTCTCTCTCTTCAACCCTACCCCTTCAGTACAGCCAACACGGTGTCGCTGTGGCCCCTAATATTCCATTGTCTTCTGGTGGTGGTGGTGGAGGTGGCCGAGATTCGTGATGGGCCCCTCCGTATAGTCCCACTTGGCCCTCCCAACAACCCGGGCCCAGATGTGGCCATGGCGGCCGATGTTCTACAGCTTGTCAGCTACTTTCTAGCCAACGTCTCCGACTATTCATCAGGTTCTTCGCGTTTTTAAGGATTTATGACGGGCTAAATCGAATCCAGAGTAGTGTTAAAATTGGTTAAACCTAATTGCGGATTTTATGGGCATCTAAGAAAATATTTTTCTATTTTTTTTCACTCTACAGGGCTGGGCTCAGCCGTCTCACCATCGATTCCTCTGGAGTTAACCCGAGCAAGAGGTATCCAGAACTCAGGAATTCAGAATTTGGAAGGGGTATTGGCAGGAGGGAATGGACACGTAACGCTGCCGCGACGCGTCTATCGTGCTTGCTGCCAATGTCTCTTTAAAGGGACAGGCAAGGCATGGCTATTGATTTTTGGATGTGGATTTCCTAGACGACCGTAATCGATTACGCAAGTTGAGTCCCACGCGATGGTGTCTACATCCTAAAATCCATAAACTTGCTTTGCCCACCCCTTTACTCGCCCTCGCATGGCAAGCTGGCATGAAGCCAACTTTGGCATGACTTTTGACTGCTTCGCGCGAAAGCTGAAACCCCCTGCTGGCACCATCCCTTTAAAACCACTACCGTACCTCTTTTTGGCCCAAGATGTTCGGCTTTTCGAGTTTTTGAGCCTCCAGAAAAACAAATCCGTCACCTACCCCCAAAAGAAAGTATTTCTGTGAGCAAGAGCGGGCATCCGAGGCGTTCCTCTAGGGAATTCCAAGACACAGACATATACCCCCCACCACTATCGCCCCCCTTCACAACAAGAACACCCGAACTCGCAACAATTCCATTAGCCCGCTCCTCTTCTGACAAATCCCTTCTAGGCCTCGGTCTCTCCCCCAGGGGTCCCGGCGCGAAAAGGAAAAAAGGCAAATGCATTTTTTGCGGCCCACACCTCACACTTCTGTGAGTGTTGCGAAGAGTATTGAAATAATGGGTGAATACTCCAAATTTAACTCAGAAATCAAATGCCTGATTTACATCCCAGGCTTCAAATTAATTAATTTTAGGTTAATAAAAATAATAGAATATTCGTAATTAGATTTTAATTTCCTCCCGAGCTTTTAAATTTCCTTAAATGAACTAAAAAAGCAATTTCATGCAAAGAAAACATTAACTTCATCGAAAGTCTCTTTTGCAAACGTTATCAATAATAGCATTAATTTAAATATGCAAAAGAGCATTTTTGCCGTAGTGGCATTAAATATAAATACGCTACAAACCCAAAATCTGTCCCAAAAATCAAGTTAAATCACTACCAACCCGGCCTGTGAACGCTGCATGTAGCACCGGAATGGCCAGGTTCAAAAAAACTCGAAAATACATTCAAAACCAAATTTATTAATTCCCTTTCAGCCGTGAAAATCCCGTGCTACAGCTGCATGTCGCCATATATGGAAGACTCATACCCATACCTCAGGACATTGTATAAAAAACCGCTGTCTTTCGACATTGCCTGTGATCAGAACAGGTGGGTTATTTGCATAAAATGGGTGACATCTAGAGCTTTAAATTTATTGATCAGATTATATTTTTTTCCAGTTTAAACCGCCATGCTCTTTACATACGAAATTGCACGGAGATGTGCGTGACGCTGCGGATACATGACGTGATAGCTGGTGGGTTTTAAATAATTTTTAATTTACAATAAAAAATCTTGCAGTGTAAATTTAAATTTTACATTATTGTTAGATTATTTCCTATATTTAATACATCTAATATATAAATTATAGGCCGGCGGAGAATTGGATATATGAGAGGCTGCCTCACGGATATTACAGGTATGTCTTCGATTTAAGTTAGTAATTTTTCTAGAAGTTTTAAGGGAGTTTATACTTGCCTACCTTATACTACGTAATACTACATTTACAGGGGCGTCTGTCTCATCGTTAGGACGTCAACTGACGAATACGAGATGCTTAGAAACGGATGCGAGGCAGCTGTTTTCATTAACGGCGCAGCGACAGGAGTTGGAGCCGACAAAGTACGTTGCGATACTATGGACGAGATTAAAAAAAAACGGAATTTCTGCATTTTTCGAGGTTATTAATGAATTTAGAACTGCAAAATCTAGCCTTTACGACCAAAAAAGTATAAAAAGTGATAAATATTTTTTAGCAAGTTTCGAAGTTTCAAAGTGTAAAAGTTTACAAATAGAATCTTTAATCACCTTAAAACTTTAAAATAACACTGTTTCAAACGTAAAAAAACCACAAAATAGCATAAAACATCTTTTTTGGCAATTTTCCAAGTATTGATTTTACAACATCGAGTTTACCAATCGCTGTCATCCTCAATTTTCCAGGCTATCCGTCTGCGGCTGTGAATCCGAGCTCTGCAATTCCAACCCTTCCGCCCCCATCCTATTGCCGCTCCTAATAACCGCATTTCTTATCGTCTTTCGCCCTAGGTAAACCTACCGTATCCCCCCGACCGTTGTCACAAATTCATCAATTTTGCATTTCCTCCAATCAATCTCCTTCTCATCCTCCTCCTTCCCCTTAATCTACGGGTACCGTCTCGAAAGTCTTTGAAATACCAATCGACGATATTTGCACTACCGTAGGCCTGTCTACCGTAGCTTTCCTTTCCTGAATTCCCATTATTTAGATTTTTCAAGTAGTACCTATCGTTATTAACCCCCGCTTTGTCATATCAATTTCATATTCTATTCCTTTACATTATGCGCTCGTTTTTCAGGAATTGATATTCAATAAATTTATTGTCGTACAGCGGAATAGAAAAATGCAGTGATGACTAATACGGTATATTTAAGCTTAATACAGAACGGTAGTTAAACTGAGATTTCGATATGGCCAGTTGAAAAGATGGAGAGTTGAAAGTGGGGATACACAAAAATAGGGGGTGTTAAGCTCAGTTTAGTCGGAAATGCATGGCACAAGGTAAGTAGATGGGTTGTTTAAAGGGGTTGTGAAGTCTAGGTTTGGGTCTATAGTCTCTTTTGGGTTCACAATCCCTTTAAATAAGGCTATGGCCATTGAGAAGTTACAAGTTTTGCAGCGAGAAGTTTTGTGGTAGCAGATCATAGCCGGTGGGCTGGAGGGAGAGTGATGGTTGGAAATAGGTGGCGTATGGTGATGGGTAGAGATTCTAAAATTTGAATATTAATTTTTGGATTTTTAAGAGCCGATTTAAAGGACTATTGAAGGCTGGAATCAACAGGGCAAGCTGACAGAGGTAATTTAAAGGATTTCACAAGACAAGAAAGCTAGCAGGACCATCTAAATGTCAGACAAGTCTTGAATCCCTTGGGCAAGCTAGCAGAGGTCATTTTTAACGTCCAGTGAAGCCTAGAAAACAAGGCAAGAGCAAAGACCATTTAAAGGACCACTGAAGCTTACAATCCACAGAAACTATTTCAAGGGTTACTCAAGGACTAATATAACTGGAGCAAAGAGACATTCTTTAAAGGACCACTGAAGCCTAAAATCCATAGGGCAAGCAAGCAGAGATAATTTAAAGGAATCTGTAAAGGTAAGCAATCCTTAAGAAAGCAGTAAGAAAAGAAAAGAAAAGGGAAAGTAAGAAAAGTAAGCAAGCATAGAATATGTATAAAATTTGTCGAAAACCCACGGGATGCATTCCCATATGCGTCATGGTGGCCATTTGGGTCATGTTCATTTGGGCCATTTGAGAAGCCGTGACATCCGGTGAGAAAGATGTGTTCCCTTCAGAAGATGTGGCCGGGGGTTTCGAGTCACAGCCGGAGGAGGCGTCGTCGGAATCGATTTTGCCGTTTCTGGAATGGAAACGATACTTTGAAACGGATATAATGCGCAAATTAACTTCTACAGCTTTAAGTAGCTTCTTCTATCCTTTAAGCTTGATATAATCCAGCTTATATGCCATTCTTTGTTGCCCAACTACCCTCCAAAATGGCATGCGCCTGACCCGGATCTGCTCAAGTGGTTGATGTGGATAGAACCAACATTGACACCGGCTGCTTATGCCCTCAGGTCATAGACCCCAGGCGAGAGAGCAAGAGAGCGAGAGATGCAGACGGACAGATCAAAATCACACTGATCGCGCAACAACAGACCCCAAAAATCTTTAAAAAAATCAAATCATCTGGAAGTACGAACCTATCCAAATTGCCGGCAGCTCGGTCTCGCTGTCGCTTGTTCTTGAACCAGTTGCTCACTTGGGTGACGGTAAGTTCGGTCTGTTGGGCGAGCTTCTTCTTATCATCCACGGACGGGTATTGGCATTTTTTATAGGCGTCTCGGAGGACGGTTCGGGATTTTGCCTAAATAAGTATAATTATAATTTAGCAACTTATTTATTTATTTTTACTTTAAAGCTATCTATTTTTGAGTTTATTTGTATTATTAATAGAATCGTAGCCAAAAAGCCCTACATACCTTAAAACAATAATTCGTCTCCTCGCCATCCCAAATCGTCTGCGGGAAAGGATTCTTCTTCCGGATCCGGTACTTGCAAACGGCGCCCAGCTCGCGCTCCTTCGTCTTTTCAGCCTGAAACTATGAAAATAAGAAAGCAGGCTAGCGGAGACTCTTCAGGAAATCCGAAAATCCATTTGTCCACCCAAATCCCATACCCAAATATCCACCCTTTAATCCCCAAAAATGGGTTGTTCGTTAGGGGGTGGCTCAGGAAGTTTTTGGGTGGTGAGGGCCAAATATTTGCTCAAAAATGGGCTGGGCGAGAAGGGGCTGCTCTACAACGTACAACAACCAACAACATGGCCGGAGGGTATGGAAGGCGAGAGAGCATCGGGGGAGAGAGAGAGTGAGTGCGAGATTGAGATCGTTGCGCAATTTTAAGGTAAATAGGCCTGGAGAAAGGGCGGAAACGAAAAATTAGTCGAACCAAAATATAGAATTATAGAATTGTAATTAAATATCGTAAACGTTCAATATTATCGTATAAGTTTAATACATTTTTTTTACAAACCTCCGTATAATGAGCGCGTAGCCAGAGATCTTGAAGAACCGCATGATTTCCCGGAGCGAATTTGTGTGACTCGAGCAGCCTAAAACAAACATTTACTTTTTTAATTAATTGGGTATAAATATAACGGTAACAAAACTTGAGGTATATTCAAGATTACATACTTGTATAGGTTTTTCCATTGTTGTCGATAAAAGAGGAGAAGAGCCTGGCATTTCAGCACACATTCCAGATAGAACCACCGCTGGTCGAGTTGGTAGAGGAAATTTTCCTGGAAAAAAGTTATTTACAAATTGCTAATACACCGGAGTACTGTAAGACCGGACAAAACCTGGATTACAGTAGCTAAAAATTTTGAATTCATTTGAAATGCCAATTTATATAACAACTAAAATTTTTAGGACTAAAGGGAAAGGAATTTACAATTTTTTCATTACATTTTTAGTCCAATAGCACAGGGTATTTTCAGATTTTGATTTTTATTGCGAAACACTATGGCTAGGTGCATGATGTAGCATACCGTAATTCCGATTTTGTGATTATCATTAATAAATAAGAATTTGTGTTATTTAGCCTCTGAGGTGCTTCATTTCAGGACATGAATGATTAGGTGTTTTAAAATTTAAATGGGAGCTTTTTGCCTTAAACGAACACTACCATCTGCCTTATTTTACAATTCACCACCAACCCCCATCCTCCTCGAATAATATTTTTGGCCGTCCCTACGTAGCCTGTGAAGCCTAGTCGATTCGGGGGGATGGGCCCTCCCCCTTCCCTCCCTTCTTCCGTATGTGGGTCCCCGAGAAGAAATTCAATCCGGTTGGTGGGGGGTAAGGGATGGAGGGGAAAAGGGGAAAAGGAAAGGGACAAGAAGCCTCCATTCAGGGAGGGGAGGGCCACTGTTGGTCCACGAAAGGGAGTACGGTAGGTGCTCCATCTACTAATTGCGGCGGTCACAGGGTTTCGAGAAACGTCGATTTGGAGCTGGGAGGGTATGGGGGAAGGTTAGTTTTGAAACCTACGAAAAATAATGCGGATAAGCGAAAGCCTACGCAGGTGCCTAGAAATAAATCTAAAATTAAGCTTAAACCCAAGCCTAAGCGAAAGCCTGACTGTGAGTTTAAGCCTAAGCCGAAGCCTAAGTTTAAGCCTAAGCCTAAGCTTATTGCTTGAGCCTAAGCCTGAGTCTAAGCCCAAGCCTAAGTTTAAGCTTAAGTTTAAACGTAAGTCATATCATAAGCCTAAGCCTCAGCCAATCCTAAGCGTAAACCTAAGCTTGAGCCTAAACCTACGCTTAAGCCTAGCTTTACAAAAGCATAAGTCACTTAAGACATTTTGGACTTACCAATGAATCGGTGTTTCCGGTCTGCAGACATTCCGAAAATAACGCCTCGCAAATACAGGTGATCTCAGAATCCGAATAGGCCGCGCCGACGCTGAAAAAACAATAAATTCAAATAGATACTGTGAAAATTAATATAAAGACAATACAATAAAATAACCAACCCCTCCTTGGCTTCCTCTTTAACTTTATTGTCAAGGCAACAAAACGGAATCCTAGCCAGCGAGCCGATAAATATATTCCCCATATCCTTAGACATCAGATTTTGCGGGGAGTAGGTGATCTGGTGGATGCTAATCTTGGGCTGATGGGACTGGGTCCGACTCCGCCCCTCCCCCCGCAAAAATTGCGCAACTGGCCCAACTTTTTGGCACCCACTGTGGGCCCAGCAGCAGTCAGGATCCTTATGCAATCATTAGCCGTCACTCAGCGGTAGCTAGTGACGGTATCAGTGGCTGCATAAAAGGTTGAATTTTTGGGTACTGTATTCAGCTAAATGGGTCCAAAAACTTCATTTATGCTAATTTCTAAGCTGTAGATTAGCAAAAATACAGATAGCTGTCGTCTCTCTTTCTCGAGCTCTCTCTTTCGTTCGCTATCTCTCACTCTCTTTATGTCTCTCTCGCTCTCTCTTTCTCTATCTCTCTCGGTCTCTCCAAATCAGATCCACGCGTTAATAGAAACATATCAAAACTCTGCCTTACGCTATTCTGGTATTCTAAAGTATTCTGAATTTCATTAAGCTGAAAACTTTTACTAAAGCTATTAACGGCCATATAACGAAATTAATATATGAAAAATAATAGAAATTCAAGACCAAGATCTATTCAGAATATGTGAAGATATACTTTATTTTATAGGTTTTTCTTTCTTTTAAATTTTATTTTAAATGCTACGCGCAGATGGCCTAGGAACTTCGCCTTCAACTAGAAAAATGTTTTGATAAAATTTGCTAGGCAGCACCGTTTATTAATCAACCGTATACGTTAAGGTATCACACTATAGGATCAAACTTCCTAAAACTCGGAATAAAATGAAATGCTGGCAAGAATGAAGCCCAGGGTATGAAAGCTGGTGGTCGTCCAAACGGAGCGAAAGGGAGGGGGCTGGTGCCAGTCTCATTTTTCTGTGTGCAGAGTGTTAGTTTTCGGTAACAGTAACCGGGGTGTGTGCTCAGCCGAGAAGGAGCGGATCGTTTTGCCGACGACGCCGAACCGGGCCGTGCAGAAGGAGGAGGAGGAGGAGGAGAAGGAGGACGAGATCCCATTCCTTCTCCTCCCTCCGAAACTTGATAACCGACCGAGGAATTCGAGCCGTCAGCCTTTGGGCTGCCCGTGAAACCTGTGATACTCACCTGCAGGCCTGCTGCATTGGTAGGGATGATGTGGCCAAGTAGGCTTGCATCTTGGTGATGAAGGCTTTGGGGTGAAGCTGGAGCCTGAGGGGAAGCCGGGCCGTGTGGATAGAAGCGTAGCGGAGTGGGGCGGGGCCAACATACACACACGCACACTACAGCCACCGCACGCTACCACCAATCGACGGAGGAGGCAGACGGCTGGTCCGCCCCTTCTTTTTGAAATAGCGGGGGTGATGGAGGTGGATTTGAGATTCAACCTGGAATTGATGGGATTAAATGGGTTGTGACAGTAAAAAATGTGAGAGAAAAATCTAGTAATTTTCAGAGTTTAAATCGACAATCATAGCATCTGAAGGGAAGCGTAAGAAGCGGGAAATCAATAACAACACAGTATTTTGTCGGCTCTATTTGATAAGAATTTTTTTAATACACCAAAATTTGGTTTCCATGGCTTTTTGAGGACCCGAAAATTCCTCCGCCATTAATGTAGTGATCAAAAATCCTTAAAAACATTTTAAGGCAAGTACCTATTTCTATTTTTTTCCGCCCCAAAATGATTGGCACTTGGCCCGAGGTGTGGTTGATCAATACATGGCACCTCTGAAGGGATGGAATTCGAGCCGACCCATCGGCAACTCGATATTCCACCCTCTCGCTCCCCCTCTCTACACCGACCTGGGTGGCCACTTGCTTGGGGCTTCACATCGATTTTTGCAGGTGTGTTCAGTCTTGATTTTGGAGCAATCGGGGGTTTTAGACATGGGCTTATGTTAGCTCTGGCTTAGCTTAGGCTTTAGCTTGTTTTGTAGGCTTAGAGGTTTAGGCTTAGGCTTCGGCCCAGGCTTTGGGCTTGTGCTTGTGCTACCTTGGCTAATGCCCAAGCTTTGGCTCCGGCTTAGCTGAGCTTCATATCGTGACCTTAGGCATCTGCTTTGCTTACTAGGCCTAGTTAGGCCTGGCTTCAGACTTCCTGTTAGGCTTATCTGCTTAGGCTTAGGCTTAGCTTAGGCGTGACTTCGAACTATTTTGACAAAACCTTAAGCTTGAACTTCCAATCCTTTTTAATGTCTCGAATTTCGATCCTGAACTTTTCAAGCGTTTTCTTCCTATTTTCTAAATTTCTACATGGTCCAAAATAAACCCTCGAAAACAATTAAAATCTCCCGTGCGGCCATCTGGCTACAGTACGCCGGGGCGCCAATTTGGGCATCTGCTGGCGACGATCTGATAGGAGATGGGGTGCGAAAAATTCGGCCAACTGGCAGGCGCGGAGTGAGGGAGGCCCACTGTTTTGGCACCTGATGAGGGCATTCATTGTTTGTTGGGCGATCCATGGCACGAGTGGTGGGTCGGTGATTTTGGAGGAGGCAGTGGAGAAAAAGATGTGGTGGGGAGGGGCTGTATCAACTTTATAAACTTAAATTTTCAAATTGATTACGCTATATAAATTCGAAAACCAGGGATCGTTCGATTGGAGATATGTAAAAATTCGGAATAGAATTTGATAGAACTGGGGCTAAATACGTTGTAAAAAATTCAAATATTATCCGTCTTTTTGCCTCACAGACCCCTTTAAATTCCAATTTTTGCGTTATTACAAAACTATACTCTCACCAAAACCAAGGACCCATGCCCAGTTAGCCTTCACTACCCAACCCACTAGCTTCCGAATATTCTCTATATAGCGAGAGAGCAAGAGCTAGAGATAGCTAGTCGACCCGAACACGGTCTTGGCAAACACAAGGCAGCTGCCCTTGTGTGGTGCTAGTGGGGCCCAGGGGCCACATGGATAGGGGCCCATGCCTCGAAGGGGGGAGAGGGAGGCCCTTTCGATGTGGTCGAGTAGATTAGTTGAGCAAACGGTTCAATATGGTTGGTAGTAGGCTAGACATCTGCCACTAAGCATTTGGGTATGCACAAGATAGATAGGCGGCTGATAGGAATGGGTAGGACAAATGGAAAAGTAGATGGATACGTATATTAAATCTTAATTAAGTTTTAAAAATTAGTTGAAAGGACCGTAAAGTTGGTGATTATTGTTATATACATTTAGGAGTTAGCCCCGCCAGTTGCACTCAAAATGCGCGATATACAAAATCGAGAAACTGCAAATACAGCTCAGAAAATTGCTTTAAAGGCGTTAGAACAACTTGCTGATATTCGATTACGCATTGTAACGACGTGGACCCGCAAAACAATGCAAAATACATAGAGGCTGGCCTTAATCATTCCTTTGAAAGGCCAGAAAGCTTAGAACGAGCACCGGGAAACCAAAACAAATTTTAAAGCGAGGGTGACTTCAAAATCGCTGCCTTGCTCGGTCCGTCAAATAACCAGGCAACTTTTAGAAAACAAATGACAACTCGAAAAATAATTTTTGAAGGCGAAACAACACCAAAATCATGAAAAACCCTTATCCTCCCGCAGGTGATCATCCAGATCATCATCCGCGTAAGTGATGCTCCCTCCCTTTCCGAACGGCACCCCATCCGTTGAGGACATTACAGCCATTGTGGTCGTGGCTCCGCCAAAAAAGAGCAAGAGGATTTCCCCTGCTCTAGTTGAAGCCCTGAACGGCTCAGGGGGGGCACATGGATGATGAGGGGTGACTGACTGGCTGCTCGGGCTCGAGATGGAAAAATGAAGCCTTCGATGACACCACAACTGTCTGTCAAAAGCCTGCTGCGATTTGGCCAGGTGGCCTTGCGGTTTGGGATTTTTTTGGGGTTTGCGAAATGTGAAAGTTGCGATTGTCACGGATTGCGTTTAGGGAGGGAGTTAAGGGAAACTAGAATCTTTCTCCTCTGCAAGATCGTGCGAATTTTAAATCTGAAATTCCGAAGCGTAAGCCTAAGGCTAAGACAAAGCTGAAGCCCAAGCCTAAGCTGAGACAAAGCCTGGCTGACAAAGCCTAGCCTAAGCCTAATCTAAGCTCAAGCTAAGCCTAACCCTAAGCCTAAGCCTAAGCCTAATGTCAAAAAATCATACCAGATAAAGCTCCCGATCCAATTTGACGTGCCCAATCATCCCACCTTCCTGCCCCCCCCCCTTTTTCTAAACAATCATAGCCCTCCTGAGGTGTCCTGTCATCCGGCTATCGTAAACTGTTATTGCTCGGAGGGCAGGTCGACTAACTGCTATTGGTTGGATATGAACCTTTGGATTTTTTGAATTTTCTCTCCAGTACGTACAATGGTGTACAACGCAGTCCGATGTCCAGATACTGTGGTTTTCCAACAATCCCTTTCGGTCGTTAGATGAGGTCGTTAACTAGTTTTTTTATTCCACAAATCCCATCAGAGTGGAAAACATGAGCTTGAGAATTGGAAATGATACCACATACGTTTTATAGATGATAAGTTATCATATGATTTTTCACATGTTTTCGCACTTTTAAATTCCCGTAATTCCAGCGTTATAGATATATAAAATCTCAGTAAACATATAAATTACGGTTCGAAGGCATTTTCAAAAACAATTTAAAAAATACGGAAGAATCTCAATTTATCGAGCTACCATATTTTACAAATGGAAAAATTAGCATTTTTGCTGGTTGTTAAACTACACCCCTTCAAAATACAGTAACCCGATTATCTGTTACAAATTTACAAAAATAATTTGAATTCAGAATAAATATTGATAAAATTACGGAATCAACAGGCTGGATCTCGCAACGGCCCGGCTGGTTGGCTGGCGAAAAATCATAGGCGATTGCGAGATGAGGGGGGCAAGGTGGTCATGTCGGGAGGATTTGGAGTGACGGGTTGAGATGTCAATCACTCACATATCACATACCCACCCCTCTAAAGACCCACACATATAGAGAGGGGCTTCACATCATCATCATCACCACAGCCATTCCCAACTGAAAGTGGCTCGAGTTCGTGAGGTGACCGGAAAGTTGCTTTTTATTTCCGGTCTGGGGTTACTCAGCGGGGGGTTACGGTAGGAGGGTTTTGCATTCCAGGGTGGTAAATCACTAGGGAAAGGGGGCCTTAAGGGGCCTTGAATATTTCAGGATTAGTTCAAATAAATAATTATAATATTTTATCTCCTAATTTACATTGCGTAATGGATTACAATACCTGAAAGGGACAGATAAGGCGCAAAATCCATACTCTTGTCTTGCCCGTCCACTAGCAAGACTGTACGCGCGTAGGCATTGCGTCGCGTAGGGTAGAAATCTTTAAAAAAAATGCTTTTTCTGTTCCTTTAAACCGACGAGGCTAACCTGATAAATCCGAATCCGAAATTACAGACTACTTAAGTACAAACTACAAATTAAAAAAGATGTTTTTCAATATAAATTTTTTCTTTTTGTTTAAAAAGCTAATTAATTAGCCTGTTATCTTGATTTTTGCCTAAGAGTATAACAAGTCCAGTAATATGAATGCTATTTTTTAAATTACCAGAAAAAGTTCTCTAAAGTCTCAGTGAAGACATCCCTATACTACAGTCCGCGTCATAATGATAGGTTCACCCCATTTTAGGACAGCTTGTTAATCTAGAATAAGTTTCGGATAAAACGGGCGTTGTAATCAGTTAGGGCACAGCTCAAAACCTTCCAGGCCAGTATCCATTTGGTTAGAAAAGGCTTCTAGATTTCGAAGGAATTTTATCTCAAAAAAAGGCTTGCGTCATAAAGATAGGTTCACCCCGAATTTTTCCGCAAAAATCATACATTCGGATCTTACTTGTATTTGTAATTAAGTACCATGGAAGTATACATGAGTTTCCTATACTTGGTTTGACTCGAAAGGTTTCAGGGAATTTTTTTGCAAAAGTCGATTTTAACAAAGAAATCACACTTTTTTAGGATTATCCGGCGATACTCGTTTTCAATTTTTAGTATGTAGGCGATCTCGGAAAGTGCACTTAATGACGAGCATTTTGGTATATAAACGGCTATAGGAACTAAGGTGTTCACGAAGATACAGGTCTAGAAACATCGAACCTACTGGGTCCCATACTAAATGGCCGCCAATCCTTACTTGCGCAGTCCATCCCAACTTTCTTCGTGTGTGTCACCCCAATATCGCCGAAGCCAAAGACGTTGTTATATACCAAAATGCTTGTCTTGAGCTGCTCTTTCAAGTCCCTAGAAGGAACTTGCGCTTCCGGTTAAATCCAGCCCGTCTTGCCACAAAAATAGTAATTTCTTTGTTAAAATCGACTTTTGCAAAAAATTCCCTGAAACCTTTCGAGTCAAACCAAGTATAGGAAACTCATGTATACTTCAATAGTACTTAATTAAAAATACAAGCAAGATCCGAATGTATGATTTTTGCGGAAAAATTCGGGGTGAACCTATCTTTATGACGCAAGCCTTTTTTGAGATAAAATTCCTTCGAAATCTAGAAGCCTTTTCTAACCAAATGGATACTGGCCTGGAAGGTTTTGAGCTGTGCCCTAACTGATTACAACGCCCGTTTTATCCGAAACTTATTCTAGATTAACAAGCTGTCCTAAAATGGGGTGAACCTATCATTATGACGCGGACTGTATTATTCACCTCTACCTCCAGATTACAGTGCCTTCCCAGGCGGCTGACCCTAGCAACTTCCGTGAGGGTGCTAATCCGATTGCTCTCGATCGGGGGCTTTTCTGGCAGAAGAAGCCGTTCTCCCCCCTCTATCACCCCAACTGGCCACTGTGCACCTGTGCCCCCCCGAGGCATTCGGTTTCACTTTGACCACCCTGCTCCTCCCCGAGCGGCACTTTCTTCGTTAGATCCCGCCGGATCACTGTAATCCAACAAAGTGCCACGTTAATCCGCTCGTAAAAACTGTTGCTGGGTTATTTAGGGTAATATTAGGTTTATTCCAGGGGGTGTGACACCATCGAATGGACCATTAATGTAACGGTTTTTCGAAACATTAGGCAGCTTTTAATATTTCCATACCTAAAAATACACCGAGCGCGGCACAGATTTGGCCTCACTTACTAGTTAGATACTTTTAGCTTATCGTAAAGGGGATTATGACACCGGGGCCCAATTCCTTAATCCCCAAATTTCTGTACTCTTCAAACATTTATTAAACATTCCGATCCATCCTCATAAATTCTGATAATTTGCTGCCGAAAACTGCATCATCTCCGGGGTCAGACCATAGGGCATCATTTGCTGGACCCCTAGACAACACCATCATCAATTCATTGAAACTACAGTATACCCGGGTACAGTAGCGCCGAGTAGCCTGCAGGATACAGGGCCGGGGCGATGGGTTTTGAGGCTGAAGTCGTGGGCTAAAAAGAGATTACGGTAAATTGTTAGAGTTTTTACTGGTCTTCTGGTTGATGGCCCGTCTTCTTCGGTGCTCGAGAAGTCGGACTCGTCTTTTGGGGCGCTTGGATCTCTGGAAATTACTGGAAAAAAGTATTAAAAATGATACCGATCTTTTGCATCGGCAGCCCGATCTCTTTGGCGGCGATTTTTGAACCAGTTGCTCACTTGGGTCACGGTAAGGTGGGTAACTTCGGCGAGTTCCTAAATTTAGAGGTTTATGAATTTTTAAAGGGGGTGAAAAGACTGCAAAGGTATTTTTTGGGTATGGATTTCCGGCAATGAAGTGACGCAACACGGGACGCGTTGAACGCTTTTCTGCGAAACGAGGAACGACCAATTACGCAAAGCCTGGCCCGTGCGTCGCGGCTTTCAGCACCGGAAGATTCCATAAAGCTTAGGTACGGTTTTTGCCGCGATACGCAACGCGTGAGATATTTAGCGCGTCGCGTATTGCCGCGTTCGTCTCTAGCCCATCATCCAAATCCAACCCCTTTAAACCAACCTTCTTCTCCTTGGGTGTTGGATACGGATTCCTGGTGTACCAGTCTCGAAGGACATGTCGAGACTTCTCCTGTAAGCAAGGCTTCACACCAGCCATATTTGTCTATCTACAGGAAACGTATGGGTAGGGATGGGGGTGGTATCTGGCCCTGTTCCTTCCGTTCCCATTATTTTGGCCATGTTTGGATGACCGATGAGGGTAAATAAAGTCCTTAGCGCCCACTACAAAGCCACTTCATGCCACCCGCTGTGGAAGGGAGGGGAGGGGACAGAGGGTGTCTGTCTGTTCACCTGGCTTCTTCTGACTCCTTTCCATTGTCTAAGGGGTGACCCGAGGTATGGTAAGGGGTAAAGGATGGCTTTAAAGGGACTAGGAAGGTAAGAATGGATACGACGGAATGGATGGATGAGTATTAACTGAATTATCGATTATCTATAGTTTTACGGTACTGGACTATTAACGGGAGGTATTAGTAGGGAAGTAAACTTTTTGTTTTACCGTCTATGCTAACCTGTGATAATAAATATTGGACCTTAATAATGCTTGCCGTAGGGTTTTTCGGCTAGAAAGTGACAAAACCAGTTGAAAAGTTTCAAATTCGAAAATTTGGACTTATTTGGTCGTTTTTCATACATTTTTGAGCAATAAGTAAAAAATATTGATACGTTTTTTTATGAGATTTTTATAGCTAAAAACCGTGCAAAGTTTTATAAATATGCTCTGTTTTTTATTATAAGTTCATAAAGGATCCTATCCTACTATCCTACTATATATAAAAAAATAGTGTCTGTGTGTGTGTGTGTGTGTGTATATTTGCATGCACTTCCGTTTGGATGTTCCGCGCCTACAGCCTCGGGGAAGGGTTTTTTGGATAGGGAAGAAACGACAATAGGTTTAGAATGGTCCGGAATCGACTGCACACACATAAAAATTTTGAAAAATTGTGGTTTTCGCTATTAAAAATAGGTTTTTGTAAAACGCTGTTTGTTAGGGGAAATTAGCATGCGCCGGAAGTAGAAAGAGCCTATATAAAGGGACAGAGGAGCCCTTTTTCACTTTTTTTTTGCTAGAATTCAGGGAGAAACATGCAAATTAAGGACTTTCACAAGTCCTGGAAGGGGCCAGGGTTGAAAAGCCGCGAAGCGGTTTTTCAACCCTGGTTATTGAAAAAAATTGGTTCCCCCCCTATCAGTTCAGTACCAATTTTTCCACAGCCGCGACACGCGACGCACCCGGATTTCCATTTCGTTGCGTGTTGCGCGCGCAACAAAACAATAATTACCGGTCCCCTATAAACCCATAACCAAACCCTTCCCGAGACTCTTTAAACCGAAAAACCAACCCTAAAACAATAACTCGTCTCCTCGCCATCCCATATTGTTCGTGGAAGCGGAAATTTTCTTCGAATACGATATTTCCCGACCGCCCCTAATTCACGACCCCTCAGCTTTTCTGCCTAAATCAAAATTTACAAATACAAGTATCGCTAGGGCACCTCGTTATAATGCGCCCTCAACCACAGTTCTTGCAATTGTTGGTGGTTTTCAGGGGAAAAGACGTGCTGCTCGATGATGCGGTAGAGTTCCTAATTAAAGAAAATACAATAAAAATGGTTAAAAGAAAAACAACTTTATAATTCATCCGATGAAAAGCGATGAGGGCGTGTGCCTTGAGGAGCGATTCGTTACGACGGTATTCATCGCGTGTTGGGAGGGACCAGACGAAAGACGCCTAATTTTAAAACTTGAAATAAACCAAATCCATATGCAAATTAAGGTATCTTATTAGCTATTTAATAACCGACCAATCGATCGACTTCGTTCGCTAGGGCATCGCAAATACAGGAGATTTGTTCGGTGGAGTAGCCGGCATCGAAACAGCCGATTCTGGAAAAAGTTGGCAAAGAATCTTTGCTAGCTTGCTTACGAAATCTATCATCAATATAATGTTAAACGGCTGAAAATATTTATTCTATATTGCATTTAATAAAATCCACTTTTTTAAATCGATTGCGGTAAGAGGATTATGCTTAAAATACGGAAACAAATGCAATAAGTGGAAATTTGTTCAGCAGTAATGCCACAAGGGCTAAAAAAAACTGACTAGTTTCCCTCAAAAATTACACCCGCATTTTCCGGATTACAGTAGAAATAGCCCTTCTTAACGTCGGAAATATAAGAACCGGAATTGACGAAAAACGACGACCTACCTGTTGCTACCCGGGGTAACCAAGTATGAGAGGAGTGGCTGGGTGTGGATATTCGAGGTGGATGGATCCATCACTTCAACAACCCTTCCCCAAGGCCGCTTCAAAACTTGAAAATGAGCCCCCGCGCCGGGAATTCGAGATGCCGCTTCGAAACTGCGAAAAAATCCATACGGCAACACCTGACGCTTGGCAATACACTTGGTTTGGGGGAAGAGGGCTACGGTAGGGGCAGCGTCCTGGGCGGGTTGACTCTATTGGTCTAGGCATGGCAAGAAAAAACGAAGCGTGCTAATTATATTTTGTGTACTGTATTCGGGTTACTGTAGGTGGTTACTGTGGTTTTAAAAGGTGAATTGCTATATTTGACATTCTTTGAAGCGCTTGAAAACGCAACAGTGGTATCTTGCCGATTTTCGGCAACTTCAGTACTTTTCGCCTAACATTGGATACTGTATTTTGGTATATTGTAAGTGCACATTTGTTGTATTTTGAGCGTTTCAGGTTATTTGAGCGCACTGATTACAGTACTTTACGGTGAAGTAGCGCAACGTAACGTACTGAAACGTAGCGTAACGTTTGTAAAGCAACGTAGAATAAAGTACAGTTCCGTAACGTAACAAAAAGTAACGTAATACTGTAACGGTGCGTAACGCACCGTAACGTAATGTACCGTAACGCAAAGTAAAATACCGTAATCTTACGTAGCGCACCGTAAGTGATTACGCTAGTCTTAACAGCGTTTGTAAAAAAAGTTTAATCTGATCCCTTGTACAATATTTTAATGTACCCTGCCTGCCTAATCAATTTTTCTTGAAATTGCATTCAATATTTCGTCGAAAATGTATCATTTTATGACTATAGGGTACATTGCGTGTATCACAGCAATTTGCAAGCAATAAAAGTATTAGCTATCGATGCCAAAATACAATAAATAATCAAAAAAACTGTCAGGGTGAAGAGTGCGGGGGAAAGGAGGGGGCGGAGGTATTGCACAACAAGGCACCAACTTAGACGCGTCAAGTGGACAGTAATGGATCGCAGTTTGGGGGCAGAAAGACCAGGAAAATTGACAATACACTGGGTTTAGGCAACAATTTGAGGGCGAACGATGGATTCGGTGACGAGGCTCAGCTTCGTTTCTTCGGTTTGGGACTGGAAATTGGGGTTTAAAGGGATTAGCCTTTGGCTTGGGTTTGGGCTTAAGCTTAGGAAAAGGCTTAGGCTTAGGTTAAGCTTAAATAATCACCTTGTCCTCTTTTTCAGCCACCTCTTCGAGAGCAGGGCTCGAATCTTTTGTGCTGGCTTCGTCCTGAGCTTCGGGCTTGGTTTCTGGCTTGGTTTCTGGCTTGGCTTCTTCTGCGGGCTTGACCTCAGCAGGTTTTTCTTCAGCCAAGCCGGCTTCTTCCGGCTTTGCGTCCTAAATGTCGAAATTGGAGAGCTAATTTTTGACTTACAGTATTCTCCTTGGACTTTGGAAGCCTTTCGGCTTGTCTTTCTTGGCGGACGATCTAAAATTATCTGGGTTGGGGAAAGAAGGAGAATGAGAGAGAGAGAAAGAGAGGGAGAGAGACAGAGAAAGAGAGAGACAAAAAGAGACACAGGGAGAGAGACAGAGAGAGATAGAGAGAGAGAAAGAGAGATAGAGAGAGCGAGAGAGCGAGCGAGAGATAGAGAGAGCGTTACCATACCTTTGCAACTAAATCATGCACAATCGTCTTCACCGCATGATTATCACTTTCGCGTCGGGGCCGGCCCTAAGCAAATCCACCTATCCAAATTTTTTCTTAAATGATACCGATTTCTGTTCGCTGTGATTTCCATGTGTATTGTTGTTGCCGCTATTGTTATTATTCCGCTCGGGTCTATCGGAGCTTTTGTTTTTCTGGGGTCGGTTTGGTTGCTGCCTTTTGTCGCGGTTGTCCTAAAAAGCCAAACTCTTTCGGAAAAAAGTCCACTTACCGGTGTCTTGACTTCAATTTTCAAGTCTGAGCGTTCTTGACGTTTTTCTGTAGGTTTTCCATTCTTTGAATCGGCCGATGTGCGTTGCTGAAAAAGGTGGGTGATTCTTTAAAGGGGCAGTGACGTCTAGTCTTGAATCTAGCTATTAATGCAAGTTTATACTGACCTTATCAAAGCTAATCCTTCCGGCTAGCCGTCCTCCAACGGCCGGCGCGCCATCCGTTTTTCTTTGTACATTTTGAGGGGCATTATTGGGTCTTCTTTGGCCCCTTTGGCCACGAGATCCAGATGATTGGCCGCCGTTTTCATTCCAGCGACCGCCGCCTAAAAATATTGTTTTAAAGGCTGTTGAAGTGAAATACCGTAGCTAAAAAGTGGATAAAACCTGGTAAAGTTCTAGCTTCTACTCTACTCACAACCGCCCATGGGTTCGGTCCAGATAGTTTAAGGGAAAAGGCGTCCTGTACGTGTTTTTCGCGCGTTGCGTGCGGGTGCGCGGAATAACAACCGGTTTTTAGCTGCGCAGGCCTGCTTTCGTAATCGCGCGACGCGTCTATCGCACGCCTTGCGGTCTTCCCTCCTTTCCAAATCTACCGGACCTTTTTATTAGGAGCCGGGCTGCTGTGTACTTTAATTACTTATAGAAAATAAAAACTTAAAACTTACCATCTCGATCCGTGATCTCCATCGATGGCACATTCTCGCGCCACTGTTCGGCACTAAAAAATAGCATAGATAATAGTGTAGTGATCTGTATTAACAGGACAAAAAAGTCAAGCGAAACCATATTTTTTAGTTTAATTGTAATTTCCATGAAACTCACGGTGTTTTGCCCTTATCCCATTCTCGATCCCACACGCCACCCTTGGTTTTATTGCCCGAAGCTTGGGTTGGAGAGGTCTAAAATTGGGCTTATTTCTTTCACCATCGGACTTAGTTCTTTAATTTTTAAGAGGGTATTTAAATTTACCTTGCTGGCCTTTGAATCGTCTGTTGTTTTTCCACTGGCTTTCAGTTTGTCCGCTTCAATTTCCTAAAAGTAGCTATTTAATCGAAATCGTTACTAGTCTGTCATTTTTAGTATGAAAATATAGAATTCTGCTTCATTAAAATAGTGTCATTTTGTTTTATTTTATTCCATTTTTAAAAAGTTACAAAACCTGTGCTCGTTGCTGGATTTTCTCATTTCGCTCACGAATCTGGGCGATTTTCTTGTCGAGCTCAGCCTCCTCTTCGCTGCTGCGGGCCGCACGGCTTTTCTCCATCCTTTAAAAAAACAAGGTACAATTCATCTAGTAGCAAAAATTTATTTAATTCTGAAATCATAAATAAGAGGATTAAGAGTATTTACGGGGGGGTGTAAAACGTAATGTCAAATGGTGTGTTGAGTAGTCATAAGTGGGGGTGGGTGGTCGTAATTACAATGGGAGAGAGAAAGAGAGAGACAGAGAGAGAGGCTGAGGATCAATAGGCCGCTGCAATGTATCGGCTGGTCAAAAGCGAACGGGGGGGAATCGGGCGAGAGAGTGAGAGAGTAGAGGAGGGGGCAGAGATCGGGCGATCAGGGTGGAAGAAAAAGGAACGGACAGCCGTTTTCTGGATGGATCAACGCTGGATTTATTGATAGCAAAGGGTGGGAGGCCAGAGGAAAGTGGTGGAGGAGAGAGGGGTGAGAGAGCAAGAGCATAAAATTTCTAGAGGAGTTACAAAACTGTAGAGGCTGAGAGCGATAGAGAGAGAGGGAGTCAGAGAGAGAGAGACAGAGAGAGAGAGTGAGAGAGTGAGAGGGGGAAGCGAGTTAGAGAGAGGTAGCTATATTAAGCGAGCGCGATATAGAGCGACAGAAAGAGCGCAAGTAAGAGCGAAAGCTAGAGTGTGTGTGTGTGTGTGTGTGTGTGTGTGTGTGTGTGTGTGTGTGTGTGTGTGTGTGTGTGTGTGTGTGTGTGTGTGTGTGTGTGTGTGTGTGTGTGTGTGTGTGTGTGTGTGTGTGTGTGTGTGAGAGAGAGAGAGAGAGAAAGAGCGAGATAAAGTGGAAGGGAGAGAGACGGAGAGAGAGAGAGCGAGACGCAGAGAGAGATGGAGTCAGGGTGTGTTGGAGAGAAAGAAACAGAGTGAGGGAGGGCCAGCTGAAGGAGCTAGAGGAGGGCGAATACGGAGAAATCCAATAACAACAATTCTAATACGCGTCGATCCCATATTTTTTAAAATATTTAAATGACAAAATCGGTCAAAACCTTACATAAAACCCGCAAATAATCACTAATTACAAAACGCGAACCATCGTGAAGCTCCACCCCAAAATGACCTTAACAAAAGCCTTTGAAATAGCCGTGGCGGCCCGGTGTTTTGCGCGACCCGCAAGCCCCACACACGGTCCGAGCGGCCACCCGGCGGACGCACTGTGTGGCCAAGCCGTTTGTTTAGCAGATGCTCTCCTTATTCCCGGTCCCTTCAACCAGCCACTACACCTCCGTCACCCCCCTCCAGCCACTGAAAAAAGGATCCCGCAAGCAAAACAGGCCCCGGCCTAACATCCTGAAAAGTTTGGAAGAGAGAGGAAGGAGCGGGCGAACAGCGAGAGATAGAGAGAGAGAGAGAGAGAGAGAGATTGCCGTGAAAGCTTACGCGTGAAAAATGGAGCTTTATCATCTGGAATAGCGTAGATAACAGAATTGATCGGAATATTTGGAGTATCTGGGAGACCGTTAAGCTATTTTTAACGACAACAGCGAGCCATTGCAAGGAGGAATTTAGAAAATCGACCGAGATAGCGAGGGAAGGAGAGAGAGAAAAAGATAGGCATAGACAGAGAGAGAGAGAGAGAGAGAGAGAGGGGGGGGGAGAGAGGGAGAGAGAGCGAGAGAGAGGGAGATAGAGAGAAAGAGGGAGACAGAGAGAGAAAGAGAGAGCGAGAGAGAGAGAGCGAGAGAGAGAGGGAGATAGAAAGAAAGAGAGAGAGACAGAGAGAGACAAAGAGAGAAAGCGAGAGAGAGAGAGAAAGAGAGAGAGAGAGGGAGAGAGAACAAAGCTTTTCAATGTTACGCTGCCTTTCAAACGATTATCTAAAAAGTGAACCTACAAACCCCAAAACCCCAAAAACCTCTAGAAACAGTAATTTGATCTCTTAATTTCTCACCTTCTAAGACAAATATTTAGACGATGGCAACAGCAAAATATCGATATTGATGGCACACATGATTTTTCGACACCGTCATGCGGCCCCACACATAATTTATGCAAAACCCCCGAATATTGCCTCGCGTTTATAGACGTCAGGTGGCGCGTGCGGAGGCAAACTATATAAATCTTAGATTAGTTGAATTCAATGAGAAATTAAATTTGGCAGGCAAACAATTATATTGGCGGACTTTATTTTTAATGATAAATTTGAAAGCTTATGGGGTTTAAAAAAGTTTTAATAACGTTAAAATTCTAAAGTTTAAAGCTGGCGTTAAGCTCTGGTTGCAAAATTTTTTCAAAAAAAATATTGCAAAACGTTTTCTATTCAATTTAAGGGCAGGCTAGCCAAGACATTTGGAGCGGAAAACGATAAAAGTTTGTTGCAGCTTTCTTCTAAAGCTTTTAAAAATATTTAATAAACCCTTTAAGCCAATTAAATTCATTTTTGCCCTTTTTCCTCTTTTAGGCGACACCGACCCCCAGTCTGCCAGCTGCTAAAACGTGCCCCTGCCCGGACCCCGGCAATGAGCCAGTTTGTTTGAATTCTAGACTGTTCCCGAAGATTCCCCCATAATCTTTACCATCCTTTATAACTCGCAACACCCTCTAAAAATTTACAAACCAAGTTGCTGATTACCCCTCCTTTTTCAGAATGGCCGACCCAGATCAAGCAGTCATCGAAAAGAACCTCGGCAATGACTTCTATAAACAAAAGGTGACCATCCCCCATTACGCTATGAAAATAATGCGATTATATTTAGGAATTTGCCAAAGCCCATGAGCATTACGATAAAGCCATCCAGCTAGATCAGACGAATATTACTTTCTATACGAATAAAGCAGGTTGGTTTGGGTTTCAAAGTTGGTAACATTCATATTTAAGCAAAAAATCCGGCTTATAATTTGAAAATTATGTAATCATTTTAATTTCGATCCTAGATAAAATAACCTCCTCGTTTAGCATGCCTTTTCGAGGAGAAACGCTATGATGAATGTATCGAGCTATGCAAATTGGCAGTCGAAATCGGCCGAGACAACCGGGCTGACTATAAGTTGATTGCAAAGTAGGGATTAAGGAGTATATAATTTGATTCTATTATTTTTAGAGCGCTCGCCAGGGCTGGGAACTCGTTCTTGAAGAAGGACGACCGGAAGGAGGCGCTTGTTTGGTTTCAGAAGTCCTTGTCGGAGCATCGTGACCCGGTATGTAATATTAACACGGCTAAAAACAACAAAACAAATACATAGCATATTTCAATTTTTATCTAAATTTCAGGAACTCGTCAAAAAAGCAAAAACGCTCGAGAACCAGATCAAGGATGAGGAAAAAAAGGCCTATATCAACCCAGAAATCGCCGAACAAGAGAAAAAGCAAGGAAATGAATTCTTCAAGGTGAGCTCGAGCTCCCGAGACACCACTATCTCAAAGTTTTCAGAAAGGCGACTACCCCTCAGCGATGAAGCATTATAATGAGGCTGTCAAGCGCGATCCAGAGAATGCTGTCTTGTACTCGAATCGAGCTGCCTGTCTGACAAAGCTTATGGACTTCCAGCGGGCACTTGATGATTGTGAAATGTGCATCAGGAAGGACAAAAACTTTAGTAAGGATTTGAACCCTATTTAATTCTGTTTAAACATTAATAAAAAAATTTTATCCGCTTAATCCTCATTTTTTACAGTCAAAGGCTACATCCGGAAAGGAGCCTGCTTGACAGCGATGAAGGAATATTCACGAGCCCAGGACGCCTACCAACAAGCCCTCAATATTGACCCGACAAACGCGTATGTTAAAAAAATGGAATTTACATATAGATCTGACAGCTTAAAATTTAAAAGTTAAACCCTTTTAACTGTAAATAATGATCCTATTTTAGGGAAGCCATGCAAGGGATGCGGCAATGCATGCAAAATGACGCCACGCTTTCTGGACAGGACAACGTAAGTGGCAAAACAATAACGTTTTGAAGGGAGACGCATACGTTTCAACGACGTGTGTTTTAAATTTCACTTAAACTTTTAAAATTAATACTCGAAAAACTAAGGAAATCAAAAATAATCTTAAAATTAAGCTAAACCTTATAAACCAAATTCGGCTAAATAAAACGTAGTTAAATAAAAATCGGCAACGCATATTTCTTTAAATCACTTTCCCACAGGTCCGTGATCGTGCGATGAAAGACCCGGAAGTCGTCGAAATTCTGCAAGACCCCGGCATGCGCTTGATTTTGGAGCAGATGAGCCAGGATCCGGGAGCCGTCCGCGAGCATCTCGCCAACCCGGAAATTGCAAAGAAAATCATGAAGCTCAAGGCCGCCGGAATTATCCAAATGCGCTAAAATTCACTAAAAAATGCCCTTCACTCCGTTGTACCATTGTTTTTGTGTTTTACCTACCTGATTAATTCTATTCACGTGTTTTCTTGATTTAGTCTACCGTTTAGTCTATTCACAACTTTTGTTAATTGCCGTTTCCGGCGTCATTATAACTTGAAACCAGTGATTTTAAACTTCGAAAAAATCTATTTTGGAATCTCTAGCCTGCCTCGACTGAATTCACAGTTCCAGGTTTTTCAAGAGCGATAAATAAAAAGAAAGGCACTGAAACTACCTTTAAAAGGATCTTTGCGTCGCCCTGGGTTCAATGATGCTCGTTTTCTCATAAATATTGATAAAACAGATTGGAAGCGCATAGAAAATACACAACTAAAGTCACCCTATGTGATCTTAGTCTTATTGAAAATCACACAAACCATCTGTTTGACGCCTCGTTGATGAAGAAAAAAAATTGATGAGAATTTGATGAGCAGAGAGCCAAGCAGCTTGTTCCGCGGGGCCCCCTCCTCTCCGAGCAAACTAAAAAACAGTCGAGCAATGACGTTTTTAGCGGGCGTCACTTCGTAGCACTTTCGCAGTGCAAATCTGTTCAATCAGGAGTTTCTGCAGAAACAATCGAAAATAATCTGAAAATCGCGCGCAAAAAGGAGCTGACACTTGCGCAAAGTTTCGTCGCCCACCTTCCAGCTGCTACCGGGTATATGGAACACGCGCCTTTTGGCCACCATCAAAGGGCCACTTTGGCCACAAGGGTCACATCCCGCACATCATTCACTAACACTTTTTTCAAGGGCTAGCGTTCAGGGTTCTTCTACCTTCTGCCAATAATGATGTCTTCAAAGTTGTTCAGGCGACTACCTATCCCACGAAATAGTTTTTTTGCGCGTTTCTTGACATCCCAAACCAATTACTACGCTCATTATATTGCGATTTTTTTATCATACAAAACGCGCATAAAGCGCTACAACAAAACATAGGGGGCAAGGCAAGGGGCAGTGCAAAAACTGTGTGGTGCTGGACCGAAACAAAAAAAGAAAATGAGAAGGGGGTTCTGTTCTATTTCGCGTGGGGGAAAAAACTGTGCGGGGGGGATTTTCTTCGTTTTTTTTATATAACTCTTTTATATGATGCTATTTTGAACTATAATTAAAACTCTTAGTATATTTTTTCACGCTCTATCGAATGGCATTAAAGAAATTTTTGAAAGTTATCGAAAATGTCGAAAACTAGCTTTCGACTCCACGATTCCATGTGGAAACACCGAATAAACCTTGTTTTTGCTATAACTATTTTATAAAACAATATTTTTAGATGAAATTACAACTCTCAGGTATATTTTTGATGCTCTATCGAATGACGGGTTCAAAATATCGAAAAACTGGCGAAAATGCCGTAAACTAACATTCCGGAACCAGTTTCAATAGTTTTTTTGTTTTTGCTATAACTTTTTTATATTACAATATTTTTAGCTAAAACCAAAACTCTTAGTATATTTTTTGATGCTCTATCGAATAGCGTTGCAAAAATCCCGAGAAAATAGCGAAAAGATGGAAGGTTCCGCGAAGCATATCCCCCCCCCCCCCGCACAGTTTTTTCCCCCACGCGAAATAGAACAGAACCGAGAAGGGTCAGTGGGTACGGGGGGGGGGGGATAAAAAAGTTAGCGTTAAAAAATTATTTACCCGTGTTAGTCATCATGAGGTGAGCTTGGTTTCGGCGGTATTCCTCGATGAATGGGCAGTGCGACGCGGTATGCGCACGGATGCCAGTGGCGCCGCAAGCGAAGCATTCCATGCGGTAGAGGTCAGGACATCTAAAATGGAATAGAAAAATCCTAGCGAATCAACCCACGTTATCAGGCCGCCGTAGCCGCGAAGCCGTGCCCGCGCCAAGGTCCATCGGATTCGGGAAACATGTGGAAGTTGCCGCGCTTGATCGCTTCGCTTTCGGCCTAAAACACCATCATGCATGGGACCAAATAATCACCTTCCGATAACAGAAGTGACACGTGTGGTCGCGGTTCAACGTTCCGTCTGCGGCCGGCACCGATTCATTCTTGGCGAGGACCATACCCCAAAACATACGTGCGGCCAGCTTCTTTTCAGCGAGTTGCTTGCCCGTGTACTGAAAAAAAATACACAACCCTTTCAAATCCATACCGGGGTGAAGCTGTAGACCAACGGGTCGATTAGTGCCGGAATGATGATGGTCGGGACGCGTGGAGGGAGCGTTGGGGTGCGGATCTCCGGTTGCATAGGAGTCATCTGCAATTTTTTAAAGCGAAAAGGGATTGTAAGGTTACCTTCTCTTGTTGGAGGCGCTGCTCTTTGAAGATCGCAGCGAAGCGACTCATCCTACCTGAAATTAAAAGTGTTAGGAAACTAATTCAAAAAAACAACCAAAGTAGAAAGTAACCACGATTGAGCAAAAATCATGCTGACCACGATAGAAATGTTCTAACCAAATCGTATTTGTTTTGAATGTTTCTATGAAATTTTATAGATAAATCGTCATTTATAGCAAACATTGTGGGATTTTCCCCGCTTAGAAAGTCCGAATTATACGTCTGTGGACAGTTCAGCGCGAATAGGAGCGCCGCGTATTTTCGGTAGCTCGGTTTCAAAAGATTCGCAATTTTTCGTAGAACGTTTCCATCTATTTTGTTTTTCAATTTTTCTATGAAACTTTCACGATATCCTCATGTATAGCAAAATTGGGGGATTTTTCCGCGTTGAGAGTACGAATTACACGTCTGTGGACAGTTCAGCGCGAATAGGACCGCCGCGTACCGATTTTCCGTGGATAACTTGTTGATTTTGGGGAATCGTTAACATCATATTTGGATGCTAAATTCACTTACGAGCGTGGTAAAAGACAATATATCAATAAGCGCTATGAATTCTTTTTAAAGCCTATTAAAACAATGTTTTGCGGCGTTAACTGAAGAATTGAAGTCTCAATTAAAATTTGGCACAATTTTGCATGAAGGTACTTACCGTTTCCGGGAGCTAAAAGGGGAATGCAGGAAATCTGGGAGTCATTTCTGCTCCCTGGTCTCGGCGATGGCTTCTTATTCGCTCTCGGCACCCGCTGTACTCGTCTCTACCCTCGATTATTCCGAGGTCCTGAGTGAGGTGAGCATCGACTTTTCTTAGCTTTAGTTTTGAGAAATTAAGGATCGTAAGGCGTAAATCGAAATTAAAGCCGCTTTACTTCCTTAATTTTGCGAATTTTTTTACTTAAGGACGTGCACACGCCCATCGCCATCTCCCCGTCGACCTCGTTGGAGGCGGTGGTGTGCTCCCGGCTCGAAGTGATCGTCGAGGTGCTTAAATTTTTATTTTGTTTAAATAATTATAAAAGACATAGTTTAGAGTTCAATTTTCCCCTTCCTTTAGCTCTTCAGCCATAAAACCTTTTAATGCGCTGAGCATTTCAGAATTTTGCCTTGCATTTTCAATGCCTATGTGTAAGTTGTTTTCGTACCTCAAAAACCGCTATTGATTGCTTTACAAAATTTAGAAAGTTCAAAAACTAAGTAAGTCAGTTATGATAATAAGTCCAAATTTTCGATTTTGAGTTGTTGACAACGTATATATTTAGACAATATTATTTAATAAGTGAGAGAAAAATCTAAACAAATATTTGATTTTGAATTATCGTGTAAACGGCTTTGCCACTTTAAAGCTGTTGTAAAAACTATGTTCCAACTCCTTACGTCAGAAACCCGTTTTTAATAGGTTTTCAACGTAGTGTTGCTATATATTGTTGTAAAAATCAGTTGCATAAACCGTAGGTGGTATACCATAATTTTGCAGACGTACAACCTCGCCGCCACCACCATGGTCGCCTCCGCCGCCACCTGGAGCGCCCACTTCGACACTCCCCGCCCCGTGAAGGCCTACGATCCCTCCTCGATGAAATAGATCAGACTCTCGGTTTTTGGTTCTTAATACATGTCGCCCTTGTGTGCCTATGTGATGAATTTTGTGGTTTTTTGGTGGAAATAAAGAGGGATTATACAAAAATAATCAAATAACCAAATCCCTGATCCAATTCTGATCGCTTTGATCGCGAATTTTCATCGAAACATTCCGCACACACCACACTTCCCACCCGGTCGGTCAGGCCGGCAATTGTCGGGGACAGCGCGCACGTTTTGTACCTCACCGTTGTTTTGCTGCTCTTTTTAGCGCCGCGTCTCTCTCTCTCTCTCGCTCTCTCTCTCTCTCTCTCGCTCTCGCTCTCTCTCTCTCTCCATCCAAGATAATGCTTTTTTTCCTCTATGTCCCTTCCATTTCCAAACCTATTAATACGGTGTCGCCCCCAACAATTAGGTAATCCTTTCCAGTCATTCTTTTCCAGTAAAGCCGCGAAAATTTAAGACAAACCAGGGTTGAAAAGCCGCTTCGCGACTTTTCAACCCTGGCCCCGTCTGATCCCATGATATGCTGCACTTTGCATAATTCTCGCGATTTTTGATGAAAAAAATGAGAAACGCTACCTCTCTTCCCTTTTTATGGGCAACCGTAACTCCCGGCGCATGCTAATTATTTCCTAACAAAGAGGGTCCTGGATTTTTCAACAAAAACGAATTTTAACGTCGAAAACAGCTAATTTTCGCAAATTTTATTAGTGTGCAGCCATCCCATGGCCATTACGCACAGAATGAGGTATAATACATACCCCTAATTTCCTCCCTTCTTGAGATACTACTGGAACACGCTGACGGAAGTTGCATGCAAAGTGGCACGGACACACACACACACACACAGACACTATTTTTTTATATATAGTAGGATTCGGCTTGATTTGGAGAGAAAAGCTTGGAGGGGTCAGGTCGACCAAAAAGGCGTCTGATGTTTGATACGCCGGAATTTGATGTGGTGCGCCACTGACTTGTGAGCCGGGTGCTGATAAACCACTGGAGTGACGCAAAATGCAAACAAATCTGAGGCGACTAGAGTCGACTCTTGCATTTTTGATGAGCATGCTCTATAAATAGAGGTTACTTCCACTTGTTACCCTTCTAAGGGTTAGGTGTCCAGGAATTCATATCGTAATTGGTTGTGCGACGGAATACATCGTTTATCTTTGCATTTTGATTTACATTGTGTATATATTACGCCTACGTTTCTTGCATCTAAATGCTTTAGCCAACAGTCTTGTCTGTCTCTGTAACAGGGGATTTAAAGGGGCGGGCAAATCACGTCCACGGATTTTTCGCGCTGTTTCTGGCTGGATTCAAGAGGTCGTACTTTATTAGGCAATGGAGAGGCGTTATGTGTCGGGAGTTCGTAAACTTCTTGCCAACTCCGTAATTCCTACAAAATCCAAGTCAAAAAAGGTATAGTTAAGGTTTAACTCCAATTATAAGCTTTTCAAAGGGATTTTTCGGCCAGGAATTCATATAGTAATTGGTTTTATAGCGGAATACGGCTTACTCAACTTCCCATTTGGCGGTCTAAGAATTCAGAATACCGTGACTATCGTAGCTTAAAGGGGACGCGACAGCAAAACGTTGAAAAACCAAGCCGCATTCTTAATACAACTCCCGATTAGAAGACGTAAGCCCCCATGTTCCAATGCTCCAGCTCCCAAAAAAGCGTTTCTAGAAGTGTTGTCGTATCGGGCGACGTTGACCGCCCCGTCCTCGGTGCTCCCCTTCTCTGGCGCACTGCTTCCGTGGTCGAGCGGGCTGGAGTATGTTCGCGTGGTCGGCCGATGTCTGTCTGTCTGTGTGTGTGCCTGTCTGTCCGGATGTGTGAGAGTGTGTGGAGATAGTGGATAAGAGTGGGAGGGTATTGAGAGGAGGACTAGAGGGGCGGAATGGCTGCGGCGCTGGAAGCGAGCTCAGCAACCCCCGGACCACCCCCGAAACCGAGTCGGCTTTTTTGACGGCGATTTTCCACGGGTTGGCTCTGGATATTTATGGATTTTATGGTTTCTAGGGCCTTAAATTTTATTTTCTGTTTCAATAAATTTTGTCTACATTTCCAAAGGTTTCCAAGGCCCTTAAAAAGCCTTCATTAATGCGTCACTTTGTGGCAGCTACAGGGTAGCGCGAGGGCATTGAATGTTTAATAAGAAAGTATTTTATCAAACATCTATTTCATCGGTTGTAAAAAAGCTCATACTGTATTTTGAACGCTCTATGCGATTTTCAAAATATCGAAAAGGTCGGAGCACTATTTCCGCAAGATTAATTTTCCAGCAACTTTTTTTATGGAATACGCCCTTTAAAATACATTTTTTCGGCGGCGAACTAAATAAATATGTATATGTTTCGACGTTTCATTGAACGACGTTCGCAATTTTGCAATTAATTTAAAATAACAGAATTTTTTTGTCAAAAATTTTCCAACCTTTGGAAAATCTAAAAATTCACAAAAACTCCATTTTTTTTCCTTTTTAGCCTCTTTCCACGATCAACTTTCCTTCCTTTCTGACCGTCGTCAAAATTGGATTCCCCTGGGGCCCCGGGCCAGCCAATATTTCCATGGTTCTCACGCCTTTTTCGCGCCCCCGTTCACCCCTTGCGGCCCGAGGTACATTTTGAATGCTGGAGTGTTGTCATTTACCACTGTCATCTATCCACAATTCTATTCTGTATTTTATGACTGCCAGATGTTTACTATAAGCGGGGGCCGGGCCGTTCAATATTTGCAATGTCTATGGCCGGGGCCCCCGGGAAAATCGAAGTGGTGTGTGTGCTGCTGGTTTGATGGCCGTTTCCGTTTTGGACCGGTGGCTAAGGCTTTTTTTTTGGTGATATGAAATTTTTATTTCGCTACGGCAGGGAAAATGAATTGTGGGATTGTGTCGTAAAAAACAACTCTGTATTGATAGGGTTGGCTTAGATACCTTTAGTTGACGTCAAGGTATTGAAATATTTATGTAAATAAGAAAATTACAATTTTTTTATTGTATTTTCATAAAATCCAGCCATAAAATTGAAAGCCTAGCCTCGGGGGCTGCGTGCGAATTGTTGGGCGAGACGCCATAGAAACAGCTGTTTGTTTCCCTGGACTTTCGACCCGCTGCAAAAAGAAGAAGCAGGGGACGGGAAATGGCTATCAGGTTCGAGCTAATTTCCTGTTTTTGGTCTTTCATGTTCTATCATTTGTCTAAATACTCTCATATAGGAGGAATTTTTCGTTAATGCGCCTAATATAAAAATGGGCTAGAATCTAGTTTCCAATTCCAATAAAAACGCGATTTCTCTGCTTCTTGTCTCTACAGACAAAAATCGCGATTGTAGGCAAGCCCAAGAATTTGGATCATTGTAAAGGGACAGTGACAAGCGGAAATGACTATTTTTGAGCACGAGCTCCAATTTACTCACGTCACCGTGGCTTTAAAGCAACTGTCAAATCGTTGCTGTGGATTTTTTATCGAGGAATATCGTTTTTTTTCGTAACTTATAGTGCTCGACGCAAACTGAACTTTACCACCTGAAAAAGCTCCTAATCCATTACGCAATACAAATACCAGCGTGCTTTGCGTTCCGCGAAAATTCATACCTAGACAAACCCAAAAACTTACCTTCCCAATCCCCTTAAAACCCAACCCAGAATTCATGATGATCGTGGGTCAGTGTTTCGATGATGTCTAGTGTTCGGTTGGTGCGATGGTTAGGTCTAAGGGGAGGGGCGAGGATGATTAGATGGAATAGACGGGCGATGGGAGGGGAGGGCAGGAAATAGGAAATGTAATCAACTATTTTTCTATTAGAGATAGGGGCATACACTGCTATCTGGTTGCAGGGCTTTGTTTTTGAGGATTAGCAGGAGTGTGTTTCGACGATCCGTGGGTGGGAGGGTGGGGGTTTCCCGGGGGTCATTTCAAGGGGCCCATTTTTTCCGGTTTTGTCCTCTTCCGGATGATTTTATTTGTTTATATTTTTACTAAAATGCGCGGGATGTATATTGATATTTCGTTAGCTTTTATTCTGGTACAACGCCTCTAAAAAATTTGCTATTAATAGATAAAAAACAAAGCTGAAAAACCGCTTCGCGATTTTACATACTTCTTCCAGAGGACGGATTAAACATATAACCAAAAAATATATAAGCCATCCCCAGGTGATGAAAACGTTTTAAAGTTTTTTTAACCAATAACCTAAATTTAATATGGAAACGTGGTGAATTAAAATTTTTTATGTTTTTATAGCCACTACTAGTCCTCTACACACCTAACAACATATATCTGTAACTTTTCGCTTTACAAAAATCGTTAAAAAATAACACTTTTCAAATATTGGCATCAGTCCACAATTATACCGCTCCACCGCAAATACCCTCCATTTTTGCAAACCTCTACGTCAATCCGTACTGCTTTGTGGTCATTCCTCCCCCTTGTTTTTTGCAACTTTGATCCCATCGACCGGCGAAGAAACACCACACACATTCCATTCCAGGGCTTCACACCCAGAGCTTCACTGCAGTTCCCAATTTTGGGTGCCTGAGCAGCCCGCATTCCATTTATTTCCGTTGCCTGATAATTGGGGGGTTATCCCCCGACCGGGTGGAGGGGTTTCAATTATTGGGTTGCGAATTTGATGTAGAGGGGATTGGGGTGGAATTGTTTTAGGGAACGCTGGAATTCCGGTGGTTTACGTTCTGACGTCATCTGTTTTGCAAATTTGCAAATTCAAGCCTACGCCCAGGCCTAAGTCTAATCCTAACCTGAGCCCAAGAATATGCCTAAGCCAAAGCCCCATCTAAGCTTGAGCCCAAGCCCGAGTTCAAGCCTAAGCGCAAGCCTAAGGCAAAACTAAGCCGAAACCTAAGCATTAGCGTAAACCGAAGCCTAAGAACAAGCCTAAGCCCAGGGCCTCAAGCGTAGGCCTAAGCGTAAGCCCAAGCCTAAGCCTTAGCCGTAGACGACGCCTAAGCCTAAGCCTAAGCCTAATCCTAAGCCTAAGCCTAAGCCTAAGCATAAGCCTAAACCGAGCCCCAAGCCTAAGCACGCCCTAGACTTTTTCCCTATCGTTCTACTACTAGAAAAAACCGACCAAATTTGCATCCAATCCGCACCTTTTTATTTACAACAAGCTATTATGCCCCAATATTTTGTAAAAGCTACAAAAAGGCTGGGTTTTGGACCCGGCTAGGCTTTCCGGGTTGCTGATGTATGTGCAGCCCCAATGAGCCTATGCCCCCCCATCCGCCCTTGTCGTCACAAAAAAAACTAAACCCCTCCCCACCCGTTCCCCTTCACATTGGTTTGTTGCTGAACCCCTATTTTTCAGGGAGCAGAAATTGAGCACTAGAAAATCGTTCTATGCCCTAAAATTTTATTAAAATGGGGGTTGAAAGCCCCATATCCCTGCTGCGGGGCTTTGAAATTAGGTACTTTGCATAATTTGTAAGAATTCGCTTTCAACCAGCTAGCTAACGAAGCCGACGGCATCGAAAGTAAGGCCTAAGTTTTGCTTTGTCGGAGCGCAACCAAATTTTTTCGCCTATTGTTCCAAAATAGTAAGGTAATAGTAATGTTTTGGCAACATTTTGCTAAATTCCAAGCAGCAAAATATCGGAGAACTTTTTTAGCGTATTAAAATCTTTGAAAATCCGGAATTTGCTCGAGAATTCCGGAACATCTTGACAAAGCTCAAACTCACAACTACCTACCGTAGCTACCACCTGACGCACGACTAACGAGCATCGGAAATTATCCCAACCCTATCCGAATTTCCGCACCAACCCGCTTAAAAACGAAAAACTCACTCTCAACTTCATTCTCCGCTTCTCACCCGAATTCGCGGCCCCTGAACCTAGCCATTTCCAGATGCCACTGAAAGCCGTGATTTTCGATTATGGCGGAGTGTTGATGAGCTATCAGGGAGCTTCCCGTTGCTTTAAAGGTAAGAAAATTGGAAGTCAAGCTTATGAAAATCAGAAGCTTATAGCAAATTTACAAAAAGAATTTCAAAAGTTGATTTTTGTATTTATAGACTTGGCCCAGCAACACAACGTCGATTGGGCGTTCGTGCAGGAGATGTTGGTAAAGCAGCATGTTTTGCGGCACGTTTCTGAAGAAACGGGACTGGATTTGTTTAGGGTGAGTTTTAAAGGGTTTGTGAAGCTGGGAAAGGTCCTTTTTGTTATCAAAATTGTTCTTAAATAGAAAATGTCTCGTTTTTCTGTATCATTGGTACAGTGCGTATCCGATATATTTGCACGCGCTGAGCTGCGATTACAACTCCGACCCCCGAACGAGCGCATTTCAAGGCCATTTCCGTACGAAAACCGCCCTCGATCAAACCCCAAAGTGACGTGACTGTCCGCTGATGCTCCCCCGCTCTTACCCAGAAAATGTGCAAGTTTTCAGGGAGACTACACATGCGAGGAGTTGGAGAACATCTATCTACCACGGTTGTCGGCGCAGGTGAGGTTTTGGGGGACGACTAAAGGGGTTGTGAAGTGGGAGAAAGAGACAATCCCGATAGCTAAAAAGAACAGTCATCGTCCGAGCATTCAAAATCCCGAACATCAAAATACCGAAAGCCAAATTTTCTATACGTCGAAATTCCGACAGCGAAAAGCTGGAAGCAAATATATTGACAAACCATACTCCCGACTCGTCAAATACCGACATTAAGGCCCGAATTCGGCTTGTGGGCATTTTTCTGCCTGCGTTCTGAAGAGTTAGTATTGACATGTTAAGGATCCATCGAGACCTACTCAACCGCAGGGGTTGAAACCGACGCTTTTCAAGTCCTTTCAAAGAGCCACTGAAGTCAATTTAAAGGGATCAAACGCTGGTCTCAAATAATAAATTACCAACTCAAAGTCCAATTTCAGCGCGGCTGCCCAATGCCTGGACCCGTCCCGTTTGTCAGCACCTGGATGGGCCATGAGAAGCATCAAGAATATGTAAGCATTCATGGAGATAAAAATGAAATTCACCTTAAAAATACCGTGTGCAAATCTCAATAACTATCTATTTTACAGTCCGTACGAGTAATCTCCGCCCTCCGCCAGCTCCGCGTCCTTGGCTTTATGACCGGTCTACTGACAAATAATTGTTTCTTGGATAAGGTTTGTCAATTTCCACCTTCCTTTCATTATTTATTCGTTATTATTTAATGCTATCTTTGATCATAAAAGAATTTTTAGGAACGGAAACTCCGCCGCACTCCAATTGACGAGGCTCTATTTGATGTAATCGTAGAGTCAGCAGTCGAAGGGACTCGAAAACCAGAGGAGCGCATTTTTGAGGTTCGCAACTTGTTCTTAACCAGTAAAATAACTAAATAACTAAATAAATAAATTTAATTCCAGATTTGCGCAGCCAAGTTCCAAGCGCTCGGAATAGCGCCCGAAGAATGTGTTTTTCTTGACGATCAGCCGGAAAATGTGGAAGCTGCGAAAAAGCTGGGATGGTTTACGCTTTTGGTAAGTGATTGCAAAATGTTATATTTTGGCCATTAATGCCTGAATTTCAATATTTTTTAAACCCATGATTTAAGGTAAATCCCAGCGATCCAAACAGCTGCGTCGAAGAACTGGAAACCATGCTTGGAGTACGTTTCGAAAATGCAGAAAGCGGGCGCTCTTCGTGCTCTCAAGAAACTGACGATTCCACCATGTCAGTTTAATTACACTTTTTAAACCTGAAATCCTATCAGAATTGCTAGATATTATTTAATATCCCAATTATTCTACCTAGAAAACCTTTGGACCACTTTTTTTATGGCCGAACTCTGTGCAAATCGTTTTCCGGCTCCAAAACAGCTGTCACCGTCCCTTGAAAATTACCGTAATGAATTAATGTAAATGTAATTTCGTTTTTCCGCCCCCTGCTTGTAAAAAGCCTTGCAAAAAATATTCTAGACGGTTAGCCCTATCCAAAACTATGTACCATTTCCAGTGCACTATTGGCGGGTATTTTCATTTGTATTGTTTTTATTGTAATTGGTTTAATTATCAAACCGGTTTAATTGCTGATAAATGCGTTATAAAGTATAAAGTAAAGGTTTAAACATTACATATTGCAGCAGAGTTTAGACACACAGCAATATCGAAATATCAAAGACGTACAACGTAAAATATAACGTGTACTTTCTTGGGCTTTTCGCTGAAAAATCGCTGATTTTTATGGCAAAAATTCTTAGATATTTAGATAAGAACCGGGAGGTGAATAAAATATTATAAATATCGGTATATCGAAAAATATAAACCATGTAAAATATCAAAATATTTATTTTCTGATGCTTCTTCGCGGGGAAAAAAAGGTAGATTTTCATGCCAAAATTTTGAATTTGTATAAGAACACGAAGTTTAAAAAAATCCTCATATTGTGGAAAGATTTGACCTAAACAAGACCAACTCTTTTTAATATACAGACACCCGAAAGAATTTCCCATACACAATGGCCAATTTTGGCCTTTTGATCTTTGGGCTAAAGCTGCCCGCCTCCCAGACCAAACTCCCCTATCATTCGTCACGTGGCGCATCGTGGAGTGCTGGGGAATTGTTGGGTGTAAAAAGGTCGTCACGGCAAAAAGAGTATTTCCACGGGGGAATCCCCCACCCCACGTGGTGTGGAAAGGAGGCACTCTTGGACGGAACAAAGGCGATGACTAGACAAATGCTCGAAAGGCAGAAAGAAGGCAGACAGACAGACAGAGAACATAGAGACAGACAGACAAAACCCTCGACCCCTCACATGCTTCAACCACTGTGGGCAAATAAAAAATGTGCCAAAGCTGTCAAGGTTTGATCTTTCTATTTCAATAGTATGTTTTTATTTTATTTGTTTTTTCCTTCAGGGCCTTAAAAATACCTCAAGCTCTATAAACCCTCCACGTTTGACCAATTCACCTATCCAAACACGTGGTGACCGATAGATAAGGAATTGTCGCAACTTTCGGCTACCCCTATATAGAGGCCATCGTAGTCGAATTCGACACCCGGACTCTAGTCCTTATTAGGCTACGCCGGGCGCCTATGCACGGAAACTTGAGTAATTGTACGTTTTTGGCATAAAGGACGTAAAGTATCATATGGACGTACTTACTTACCTATAGTTCCTTCATTAGCCGTAAATAAAAATCAACCGTAATGGCGGTTCGGCTAGAGCGTCAAAAGGAAAAAATAGGAAAAAATTTTAGGCTTCCAAACAAGCGAAACATTGAAAATCTTGCATTTCAGTTTATTAAGCCCTCGCATCATAAAAAGCGCATTATTTCACACTAAAACTTTCAATCTAGTTTATAAAAAAATTAATTTTGTTTTTTAAATTCAGAGGCTTATAAATTTTAGCCCTATAATTTTTAGCTTTGATAGGAGTGTTCGTTGCCTACGCACTGAATTGTCGATCTTTCGGGACCTGAAGTCTAAACTATAAAAATTATAAAACATCTCCCAACAATCCATTTTAGTCCCCCCCCCCATTCCCCCAAACCTACACGTTATATGAAACACATTGCCAACCAGACAGACCCGAGACCAAGCTTTTGGCCCCAGTCCAACTGAACTCTTTTTCAGCCTCCCGCCCCATTTTTTCACGGCGTTTTGGCTGGCAGCCATCCGGCAACCATGGGGTGATCGTTCGAGTCGGGCGACCACCACGTGACTGCTTCCCCCCAGAAACACGCCATTTCCCCCCTTTCAGCCACCCCACCGGAATCCCTCACAAATGATGGCCCTCCTTTCTTTTTAACCGGGTACATGCCTTGGCGATCTCGGCACCCCGTTCCCGGGCGGACGGCAGGCTCTAACAATTAATTACCGGGATTGGGTCGCCTAGGAGCTGTTTGAGCTGGAGGTTGTTTTGCAGGAATTTGCGCCTAGACTTTGTTTTAGGACTCTAGATCGAAATAGATCCTTATTTCCATAATACTTTAGATATCTTAAAAAAAGCCCGTGGTTAATCCAATTAAAAAATTGCAGAAATTGTTTAGCTACCAGGAAATAGGCTAAAATGAAGGGTAGGAAAAGCTGCTTTTTCGATATTGCTACCTAGAAAATAGCATGGGATCAAAAAGAGAACAAAATAGGCTTCCTCTAATTTAGTCGGCTTCACTAAAAAAAACATTAGATCAATCAGCTCAAAACAGGTTGAAAGCGCTTGGCTTCATCCAGGAAAAAGTCTCGTGTCCTGCTAAAGCAAGATTTTGAATCAAGGCAAATCGGGGTTTTATGCTATTCATACGAGTGTACCAGGATTGTGCGAACGTAGAAAAAAAAACAGAATTAAAAAATATTTGACCCAATCCCGCGCTTTCATCACCCCTCTAAAAAGCAACATTTTTTTATCCGATCCAATTTCTTGCAGCATCCATTTCCTCGGGCCGCCTCCCCCTCTTCCCTCTAGACAACAAGAGCTCGTTTGCCCCCCGCGAAATCGAGCGGTCATAGTACAGCTATTTTGCAAGACACAAACACACCCGATCCGAACTTCCGACCCCCCACCACCCACCAAATCATGCCACATGGCCACCCAGCAACAACCACCCCCTAACCCCCTTCCATTCACCTCATCCCACCTTCACCGCACTCGCTCGCACGACCCGAAAAACATTTCAACCCAACCCACAACCGTCACCAACACAAAGTCGTCTCCCTAACCTTTCTAAGTTGCGAAAAACGCCGATGATTCATCTAAACTACGCCCATTGGTCTGCGAGCCATGAGACTGACATTACCTTGGAACCCCGGGCGTAGATCGTCTCCCCAGATAGCGGGCCATTTCCCGATTTTCGCGCCCGTTCCATCTAATTTGAAAAAAGAAACCGGCCTACTGTTTTCCCAAGCGAGCCACGCTCAAAAAGCGAGACGTTGTTTTAAATGCTTGTTCTAAATGGTTTCAGCATAGACACGAAAGATGCGCGATAATTTGTTAGCTAAGAAAAATAATAGTTCTAATGCGTATTTTCTAAAAATTTTGCTCACAAATTCCGCGCGACAACAATACTAGTACGAAGTGCTACTAAGGACGCAATTCCGCAATTAGGCGCACCTCGTTACTCGAGAGAGGGCTTTGCGATTTTCCTTTTTCGGCGATTTGCGATGGGGTAAATGAAACTAATTTTCGGCAATTATTACATCTTTCTAGTTATTTGAATTATTACATGTAAGTCGAACGGTCGTTCGTTAGCCGCCGTTCTCCCCGTAGGCAATGTGCGCGAGACGGCGACGGACTGGAGGCAAAGAGGAAACTCGTCCTTGAGTAGCCGTCATTCTGCCCTCTTTCCTCTTATTGCCTTTCAACCATTCTACCCATCCTAGTGTGCCCTTGGAGCAGATCCATCCATGCCCAACGCGCCCCGCAATTCTATGCATATCTTCTTTTTCTCCTCAAGTTTCTACTAATAAGAACTTTTCTGTATTGTTTACCCCTTGCGAAATCGCTAAAACTGCAATCTCTGTTTACTTTCCCCACTGAACGTAGTAGATCCGCTCGAATCGCTAGATCCCCGGCACATTATCAGCTGCGAACGCCATTTCTTGCGCCCTGCTGCCCCCGTCGCTTCCCATCAAAAAATAAGATAAGCCGCCCATACCCGCGACGTGTGTGCCATAGTGCACACTACACATTTGCCGCCGACGCGCCACCCTTGTTTTGCCCTTTCTGTTTGTGGTTGAGGGCAAGTAGACGCTGGATGCGTCCCCAGACAACATATTTGGTCCACTTTGGTCCGGCTACCCACTAGCTCCTCGTCCTCTCCCTATTTTCATCAATATCTTCAGGCTTTTAGCCTGACTGGCGTTACTCACGTGAGACGCAAAAGCGTGACAACTAGTTGAGCCTCCCGGCGATTTGTTGGCGCAGTTTGGCAGTGATTTTACGGTTGTTTGGTCCCGCGTTTTCATGTTTTTCTAGATACGTTGGGGTTTCGATTTTTCTCGGGGTTCTCTTTTCTTCTTCGATTTGAAGCCGTGTTAGGACGAATTTGCTGCTTTTGGATTCGCCGGCACAAGCTCGAACCCCGCCGAACCTAGTCATTAATTGCCTAGTCGTGTCGGTTAGAGACAGCGAGTTCCCCTAAACGGGTGTGTTCCCTAAGGCGAGCAGTGTGGGGGTAGCGTGCGGGAAGTGGTTTGCACACTGCAGTGGTATGTGCGCGCCTTTCTATGGGATCGATGATGGTGTGTTGGGCCGGGCTCTCAGGGCGATGGCCATCCTACCCGCCGTGCTTCTCAGGGCCCCTCCTGCCAGCCACCGCTCTTTCGCTCCGCGCGCGCATCCACACCCTTTGTCCTCATCGGGTGGCTAACGGCTCGGCTTTTGCATCCGGGCCCCGTCTGCCCAGTCAAAAATTCATGAGCTTGCGTAAACAATTGGCCCGCGTAGCCCCCGGAACAAACACTGCCTTTTAGTAGTGTAATCCATTATTCTGTGGCTTTTGGCCTTCTAAATTCATTTAGTGTCCGGCGTCCGCCTTGAAATGAGAAGCCGCCAAGGCAACTTGTATAGTTAGCGTTCAATCAGATGTGTAAAGTTAGAGTATTTGTTAAGCTCGAATATTCGTTCATTCGTTCGGCTGCGAGCGAAAACCGATGAATTTTACAATTTTACTCGAACTTCCGAACTCGAACGCTTGGGCTATACAAGTTTCTAGCAAGTCCTATTTCCTCACCGAGTTTATTGACAACCCCCAAAAGCATGCCCTTTTTCGACCAACCATTCAATGAAAAAATGTTTCGCAAGAATTGGTCATTCCTTCCCACGAATGCATGCATGCACCGCAGGATTTTTACGGGAAACACCTCGGATTCTGCGATTTTTGGGACCTTACGTTTCCCCGGATCGATGACGAAACTAGACGAGCGCTTTTCGCCCGGCGGTCATTTTGTCCTTTGCCCCCAGGCCCCGGTTTCTTTTTCGAGTCCCACACGGCTGGTCGCACCCTATTTCTTTCCCCGCTCTCCACGTTATAGGTTGAGCGCCGTCGCTTTTGGTTAATCGTTTTTGTAAACGCGTGCTGAGGTTCGCCCCCTCCCACATATTTGCCCTACTCACGTTTCCGCGATGTGTTGATGGAATTGTTTTCGCATTTCTCTCGTCCTCTTGCGACACAGCAGACTCGTTCACCTATCGATAAAAAACGAGGGCAAGCGCTGATTTCTTTCCGGCATTCAGATACTTGCGATATTTTAGATAGGCTTTACGTGCATTTTCGTTTTTTCTCCGTTATTTCGTTCTTATTCCTCTTGTCGTCAATAGTCTACAACTTTTTTTCAGGTACCGGTGCGCTCCTACGGGTCTGTAAGGCGGCCGGCCATATGCGATGGACATTGCCTATCGTCTCGTGAATAACGTGAAGTATTTTTACAATGCGATCAACCCTGCAACGCTTTCCGGTAATTTACAAATAAAGATCATTATAATTTGTATAGGTGCCATTGATGTGGTGGTAGTTGAACAGCCGGATGGAACCCTTTTGTCGACCCCTTTTCACGTCCGTTTCGGCAAATATGGCGTCTTTAGTCACACGGAAAAGGTATTTAATCTGGTTTTACATTACAATTCTCTCAGTATGTCGACATTACGATCAATGGCGAGGAGATAGATTTGAAGATGAAACTTGGCCAAAACGGCGTTGCCTTCTTTGTCGAAGAGACTGACGGAAAGGTGCGAAGCATCGACATTTTGGTAACGACTTTTTAGGTGCCGGATTATCTGGCGACGAGTCCGTTGCCGGAAGGTAATGAGCTCAACAAGCCGCAGATCGATACTGCCCTCGTATTGGCCGAGTCCATCCGAAAGTTGGAAGAACACCAGCGCCAGACCCAGGAAGGTGGAACAAAGGTAAGGCTATTCAGATAATAAAAACTCCTTTTCATTCCAGCTACGATTGTTGAGCGACTGTAGCGACGTCAGTGAAAGCCACCCATCGACCCCTCCTCCCTCCCAGAAGGAAGAGTCCAGGGCGGAAAAGGAGTCGGTTCCGTTTTCCAATAGGAGTACAAAATTTTAGGGCTAAGGCCGCCGAAAAAGAGAAGGAACGCCGTTTGGCTCTTCCCCGGCTGTCTTCCGTGTTTTCGCAGCGCCGTAACCGCTCGCTCCCTGATCTCACCTCGATTCTTGATCAGCATCACGGATATTTGACCGATGTTGACAGCGGCCGTGATACGAGGACGAAAAAGAAGGGCGAAAAGCCACCTCAAAGGTGCAACACAATTATTCATCATCAACATTGTTTAGGAAATTTTCCCAGCACGCCTCATCGTTCCACCACAAGCGCTCGCTATCCAATAAGGGCGTGCCCGGCACGAAGGATGTAGACGAATTCTTCAAGTCTCTTGCTACCGAAAGTCGCCCCTGGACTCGCCGAAAGAAAAGCCGTGTTAATTTTGCTCCGGATCCGATCACTATCCGCACGGTAACTTTATAATTCTTATTTTTGAGCGCCGTCTTAGGGTGGCGAGCATGATGGTGATATCGAATCGGCATCGTCTTCTTCCGTCTCATCTCCTACGGGTTCTCTCCGTGATCAGCTAGATGTGGATAGCCTGGCCGACGGATGCCTCTCTGATTCGGAAGTGGATCGTCATCGACGCGATGATTATTCGCGACCGAAAGCGGTACGCAACAAATACTTGTGCCAAATGATTTTTTTAGAGCGGCAGTGACGTCACTGACTGGCAATGGGGACAGCTGCCGGAGACGCGCGAGGATCAGGAGAAGCGGGCCAAGGAAGCCGATGAGAAGTCCAAGGAGCGTTCCTGGTGGTGGCCATTGACCTGGCGTGGCAGAAGCCCCACTGCCTCCCCCTCTAAGCCCATCAAACAAGAAGAGCAGGGAATCTATCTCGACGACCTTGTTGGCAAAGGAGCTGCTCACGATCCCGTTCAGATCGAGAAGTACCTTGGAAAAAGCGCTCCCTCGACGTGAGTATTGGGATTTTGTATTTACTTGAATCTTTCAGGCTTCCCTACCCTGACAGTGGGCACGGCTCGACGAGTGGGCCATCACAGCCCAGCAGCCCTACTATTGTTGGCAGTGGAGCTAGCAGCGACAACGAGGGCTTGGATAAGGTGAGACTCTTTCAAGACTTTCAAACAGCGCCTTAGACACCGACGCAAGAAACCGCGGCTGCTGGTTTCACGAGCCCGAAGAGTCGCAAGGGAAACCCGCCGACGCGTATGCGCAATATCAGTGATCAGCGCAGTAACAACTCTGACACCATTTTGTATGGCTTTATAACAATTATTTGATTATTTGATTCGTTTTGGCCAAACATCGGAATTTCGATTGTAATGATTTTTTGCTTTGGGGTGGCGAAACGGCGGTCGAACAATGGCGAACAGTCGTCGTATTTTTTGGAAACGACCACGGGTCAAATAACGTTCTGAAATTGAGACATCGAAAAACAACGAGCAGCCGCCGACTAAAACACGCTTACCGTCTTTTTTTCAGTCCCTTCAGCGATGAGGAGAACGATGATAAAGAGCTTGTTGAGGATGGAAAACGGTAAACCAGTCTTGGATTACTAAATATCTCTTTTAAGTTACTTCCGTTCGCTTCGCCTTTCGTCGGATAAGCTGAAAACTTTGGGCCTTGAAATGGGTGTGAATGATGTTCGCTTCAGTATTACAACAAAGTTCCAGGTTTTTGTTAATTCATTAAATCATCTCCTTTTGTAGGGAACGACTTGGTGTAGCTGCAACGTTTATCTGTACAAATGGTACGAGAAGATAGTCATTTCTGACATTGATGGGACCATCACCAAGAGGTATATTCCTATGAAGTTCTTTCTAATCATTTTTGTTAGTGATGTCTTGGGACACGTCATCCCCGCCATTGGAGGACAATGGGCCCATACTGGCGTTGCTGAACTGTACTCTCGCATTAAGGCCAACGGGTATATTTACAGCGGACAATTTTTTATTTAGTATTTCAGGTATAAAATTGTCTATCTTTCCTCGCGTGCTATTGGGCAATCGCATACAACCAAGCAATATCTGAAAAGCGTTGCTCAGGAGCAGCAGGTGGGAACAGTTACATTTGTTTTATTACGTTCTTAGGTACTTCCTGACGGCCCGGTTTTGTTGAGTCCGACGTCTGTTCTGGTGGCTTTCCACAAGGAAGTGATTGAACGCCGTCCGGAAGTCTTCAAAATTGCTGCACTCACTGATCTGAAGAAGCTCTTCCCCGTCAAGCATCCATTCTTTGCGGGTTTCGGAAATCGTGAAACGGTGAGGAATTCTGACGATGTTATTTAAGCTAAAAAGGTGCATGAAGACATTATCGCAATTTTCTTTCAGGACATCGTGTCGTATCGCGCTGTCGAGATCCCGATGTCACGCATCCTGATTATCGATCCAACTGGCAAGGTGCGACGGGCCGATAGCCGTGGTCTCCAAAGCACCTACCTCGGCATGGCTAACGATACAGTTGACTTCCTGTTCCCGCCGTTGAGTCGTAGGTACGTTGGCGTGGTGTTAGATTTGGATTAATTGAATTATGAGTTGCGCAACAACCGCATGGCCATTTAGGTTCGTCGTCGAAGGTCCTGGCTTGACCGACAAACTCCATTCTCCTTTTTCGAAGCCTCTCACTCACAGCAGTTTTACCCATTGGAAGAACGACGAGGTATATCCTTGTTTAATGCTTTCTATTGAGGTGTTGCGAAAATTTTTGTTATTTTTGGTTACTAAGGAACTTTGTAGCAGGGCTGAATGTACCGGAGATGGTTAGATGTTTTAAATCGATATTTTCAGAGCCCTACACTGCCTGATGAGGCCCTCATTGCCTACGAAGCTCGTCGGAAAGAGCTAGAGAAGGAACGCAAGAAAAAGAAGTAGCTCCAACGACCGCTTCTCATCTGTTGAATTCATCATGTGTTTTTCTCGCCCCCCTCGCTCTTAATATTTGGCCTTACCTCCCACTCACCACTGGCTCAACACCAACATGTCCATTATTTCGTCCATAGCGTTTCAGGCCCGCTCACTTCGACCAACTGTGCTATTTGTTCAGAAATTAAGGTAATTTCATCATTCCCCATATGGCCTTTCCGTACCATGCACCGGTACTTCCCTTTAATAACCCGTGATTCTGTGTGTCGCCCTCTATGTCCTCTGCTTTACTTTGTAAATACGGTTCCTTGGATTTATGTGCATTTTCGCGGGATTTTAACTGTACTTGTAGTGAGTAGTGATGTATTTAGTCCCCCTAGTCACGTAATAAGACCTACCGCACTCACCATTGTTGACCATGCGTCGTTTTATCCGGCCTCATGAAGGTGGCGGACTGCGAGAGATTTATGAAAAATAAATACTTTGATGATTTCTTTTAAACACCGGTTGTTACGTCTAATATCAAATACATCCAACGCCTGCGACACGAACATGCCTTTGCTTTCAGGAGTCACATTGGGAAATGCAAGGCTTGCCCAACGGTGATTCTAGCTGGCTGGAACAGGTCTGCACTTTGTTGTTCAGTGTAAAGGCATACTTTCCAGGATCACGCTGACTCGAGCCTCCTCTCTGGTTCCGAGGACGAGTTGAACACCATCGAAAGCCAGAGCCCTGTGGTAACCGTTCCCCCTAAATTGTGATTGTCATTAGGTCACCGACGGCAAGCGCAAACGGAACTCGCACCCGAATCGATATGGCAAGCGGTTGCTGGGCGTCAACAACTTGGTAACGCCTTTTAAATGCATGCCTAAAAAGATTTTAGAACACCTCTTCGTCATCGGAAGCGGCCGATCAAGACCGTCCTCCGGCGCGTTGCACGTTCCGCTCCACGGCCAGCTGGCTGACCGACGAGGAACCTGAAGACGTGAGCATGAAAGATGCCGATTCGCCCATGCACACTGAGGAGAGCAAAAATCCTGGGCAAGATGCTGATGACGCGAACAACAACGCCCTCAATTGTCTTTTCCAAAACCTGCAGGTAGATTCAGAACGTTCCTTTTCTCAAAGACGACATAGATACCCGAGGCCGACAAACTTCGACGCAAGCCACTCCTCGCTGATCATTCTGTTCAAGCGGAGGTGTTCGACGATCGTATGGAGGAGGGTAGCCAGGTAGAATATTTTTATCTTTTAATGAATTTGGGATCTTAGGAGGTGGTCGAGTCCGAGGAGATGGTTGTTGATTCGACGAACACCGGGCCGACATCTTATTAGTAACTCTTTCCCCGATCGATTTTCGTAAGGTGTCTACTATAGGTATTTCCCGTGGTTGTGTTGTGTTTATCATGTCGCCATTCACTTATGTGATCTCCTCAAGTCTTTCTGTGGTTGTAATTGATTCTCAAAGTTCTTGTAGACCAAAACGGGTTTTTCTGTAACTACTAGTCTCTTGTTCTGCGTGTATGAACTCATTTTCGGATACCCGCTGTTAGAAGTACCCAATAAGCGATTTTACTTTTTCTTCACTGTTCTGTGTTAAAATTAAATATACCTGTGAACATTTGCCTCATCTGTGTTCGAGAGTATGACATCATAAAGAATTTGGCATGTCGCACTTGAAAACAACGCGAGTCGGATGGCTTGAACTGCGCGTTAAAGTGTCATGTTTGTACTAGTTTACGTTTTATGTATTTTTAATCTTTTTTTCGGTATCAACCGTTATATAATCGGCTCCTAACTGCCTGGAACTTTCACATAGAAAACGATTGGCCTGTTCGCGAGTACATTTGATTTTTGGCACGATGCGGCGTTGATGAATGTCGTGTTTCCGTTAGAGAGGGCCCCGTATCGTTCGTGAACATGGCCGAAGACGTGGAATCTGGAAGGTGGTGATTATAGGTGATTATAGAGACTATGATGCGTAACTATGGCAGAATGAACTAACTTTGGATTGCGTGCTTCAATCGCCTGCAGCAAATCATAATCTCCCCATCGCTCGGCACCGAACTGATCGAGATATCCTTAAAAGGATTGTTTTGCGTTGCTTGGATTAAACTAACCCAACGGTGGCGCGTGCGTCATCAGGACGTCAACCTGCTGCGGCATCATTTTCCATTTTTCAGCCATTCCTGGGCCACGAGCCATGTAGAACGGATGACCTCGTAGCGGATGCCAAGAGCTGCCGTAGATTTTGATGCCCTCAATCTAAAAGATCTTTTAACTTTTGAAGTTCGGCAAGGGACCGCACCTCTATCAGTCGATCCTGAAGCCACTGTACGTTTGTGAGAAGCTTATATCCTTCCCGTGTTCCGTCAGTTGGGTATTTATAATGGCTAAAAGTATAGTTATTTTTAATAGCTGGTACAGTTCTTACCGTTTGCTCCAATCTTCAGTATCGTCGAAGCCTAGATCGTGATTTCCGGCCACCACCACTTTGTACTTATGAGGTAGTTTGCCTAAATTTGTCAAATCGAAACCATTAGGTTAGTAAAAATAAAGGTTTTTGCAAAAAAAGTAGAATTTATACTCACCAAATTCTTCATTCAACGTCTCCAGCTTCTCCTTTTCACCCTTGTTGGTCATATCGCCGCAATGTATCAAGACGTCTCCATCGGGAATTCCGATTTTTTCCTAAAATCGCTTTCTAAGTTTTCTTAATAGATTTACTAAGTTTTGCAAGTAAGTATACTACGTCTGTTGAAACCTACAACCAAAGCTCCCAGCTGATCGTGCGTGTCCGAGATGGCCACAAATTTGAGCCATCGCCCAGTACCGTCTGGCTTATTGACTGCGCTAAATATAATATTTTAGCGGTGTTTTTATTAGTAAATAAAGTTTTTCAGAAGTTTGACCTACTTTTCTTCATCTAACATGACCTTCTCCACTCGTTTCGTATCCTTAATTGTTTCCCAGAACTCTTCTTGACTGTCGGGGTCTATCCGGCGTACGGCAGCCATTGCTGGAATCAACATTTAATAGGTTTTACCGCTAGAATCAAATACTTTTTTCAAAACTAGTAAAAACTCGTTTCAGGGGACCGTGACAGTGGTTTTAAAATAGCTTTTACTGATGTTATATAGAGAAGGATGGTGGGCGGGGAACCAAAATAATATTTTAGCTTACACTCAGAATCCTGCATTTTTGAGGGAGAAGCCGAAGCCACAATATAAAAAAGGTTGTAGCGAAAGGGCACACGCGCAGTCCCCCGCGGCCTCCAGCCAGCCGTAGTGAAAATATTTTATGGCTCCGAGCCGAGGGGTGAAGGAAAGAAATCGTGGAGAATAAGCGAGAGAGAGAGAGAGAGAGAGAGAGAGAGAGCTCGAGAGATACGGACATACAAACGGAACTCGTCGAGTTTTCGTGATTTATGTGTTTCGCCGGGAATGGAGGGGTGGCGGCGAGCAATCAAAAGTTCAGAAAACAAGACGGAAGGGGGAACTGTACCTACAGTAAAGTAGCGGAACAAAATGACCGTTTCGTGATTTATTACTAACGAATTTCTGCCTTTAGGTTTATCAACCGCTTTAAAATCAGCCTACCGTATTCAAAAGCGGAAATTAAGCTAAATCTTGGCGGAGTAAAGTGTCCAAAAAGTCAAAAATCTTCCTGAAACTTCCTTCACAAGTGCTACGTGAAAGTAATGAAAAAGTTATGGTTTTAGATCGTTAAAAAAAGCAAATTAACCCAATTTTTTTGAATCAAGTGTCACCAACCCTTAAATCCGGGTTTTTAGCTGTAAATTAAAATCGGCAATTTCTACCCGGATATGAGGAAAAATATAGAGTGCCCGGAAGGGATTTGCCTGGGACCCGGGGAGGAGCTCGCGGGGGTATCTTTTTCTGGAAATCCGCCAAAAACAGAGAGGTTCTCGCGAGCGTTTGCCAGAGCCGGAGTGCTCTGGAATAAGGATAGGGGAGGAAGAGAAGAAGAGAAGAAGCCGAAGGGGAGGTGGAGAAGGAAGGCGGATGGATGCCCGGAGGCCATTTGGAGCAGAGCGGTGCCTTACGCCCGTCTCTTTCAATGGCTCAATCGATCCCTTAGGACCCCGCAGGGGGTTTTTGGGATCCAAACAGCTGGGGTGGATGGAACAAATCATCTTGAGTCTCTGGGGGTGAGATCTGTGGCTTTTGGGTGCCTTTTAGGGATGTAGGAGAGCTGGATATGTTATTTGGATGCGCGCGTCGTCATAGAAACCTAAGGAAAAGGGGGAGGACTTAATTACATGTCGTAATCGATGGGTTTAGGGCTACTGGGGCAAGAAAGAGAGGAAATACAGGTTAATTTTGATGATGTGACAAGCTTAAAAAACTGAATTACTTGTCGTAACCTCTTGAGTTTACTGTTAAAGGAGCTGCATTGCGGCGAATAAGCGTGTAAAGATATACATAAATTCCTTATTTATTTTTGGATGAAACGTGGGACGATCCCCTTTAAAATCAAATTCACAATGAAACCGATCCCAAATTCCACCCCCAAAATGATACCACAAAATAGAAGAAAGGACCTCCGGGGGATTCTATTGTTGGGCCAGGGGGAAACCAAATTGGCCGTGGATTGGAATGCCGGCCGGCGAGCGAAATTTGATCTGGTTAGCGATGCGTGTATTTTCGAGAGGCACGGCTGGAGTGGAGGGGAATGTGCCTTCGGGCTATGTACGGATGGGAATTCTTCGGGGTAAAAATGAGCGTTGAAGGTGGTGGATTGGGTCCTGCTGTCACGCGTAATCTGGGAACAGATTCTTCATCCTCTCCTCGCTCCGTTTAAAATTTTGTAACTTCGACAAAGAATGTTGTATAAATTGTTCTTAATGTTAAATAACGCTTTTTTTATGCCAAACTCCTGCTTTTCGACCCGTTGAAAATGCTTCTAGCACTCCCAAAAACTTTTCTGGAATCGAAAACCCTACCAAAATAGCGTCTAGTTAAGGCTTCCTCTGGCTGTCACGCTCCCTTTAAAATAGCTTTGAATAAACAAAAGTCAGAAAAATTCTAAGTAGTGCAAATTCTTGCGGTCCTACCCTGTTTAAAGCCTCCAAAGGTTTTTATAAAATCGAAAATTCCACAAAAAGCGATCCTAGTCCAAAGTTCAACCGCCCCTAGTAGCAACCCCAAAAAAACTGAACGCAACGCTTCGCCCATTCCATCGGCAAGGCGATATTTAATAGGGTTTTGTCGGGGGCCTCTACTACCCCCATAAATGGGCCACAAAGCCACTTCAGAGAGAAGCCAAAGAAGAAGTAATATAAAAAGCGTGAGGAAATGGGTTGGTCTGTCTAAAGGAGCGGAGAGGGAAATGGGTAGGGGGAGAGAGAAGGCCATTTAACCGGGTGCCCAATACGCCGCGATTCTTATCTTATGGACCAGAACATAAAATAAAATCAGCCTGTTCAATGACTGCCTCAAATGGTGTTTGGCTAGGGGATGGTGGTTGCTATATTAAAGGGATTGTGAAGGAGGGAAGTTAATCTATCTTAAAGGGATTGACAAAGCATGTCTTTAAATTTCTTACGGATTTCGACCCCGTGCCGGGCAACGCGCACGTCGCAAATAGGCTCTGTCTTATCTAATTTATTAATGTATTGATTAACATGTAATAAATTTTTTGTATAAAAGATTTACCATATTTATGAAAACACCTTATAGATTTTAGTTTATTCGCTCAAAGCCTTTATTCGAATATCAAGGGCTTTGAAGAATCTATGAAAAAATTCCTATATCTTATATAAACATCATAACAAATTGCCGTATATGATTAGCATATTCAAAAATATCTCCATAATAAGAAACGCTTTTTTTAAAGTACAGAGTAAGTTAAAATAAAAAGTTTAGGTTTTTTTCTCTAAAAAAAGCTTGAATTCATTGCTTTGTCAGTCTTTAAAGGGCACGTTCAGGGAGGTTTTTTGGAAAAAAGCAAAGATTTTTGCCGCGGCCGGGGGTCGAACCCGGGCCCCCAGCTCAGGAGGCGCGGATGGATACCAGTCAGCCACAGCTACAAGCTTGCGAGGGGATGAGGGGCGCCCCACCCCGCAAAGGAGCGAAATGGCCTGTCACAGCACGGGCAGGCAGTGCGCGCGGTCCCTACGTCCAGAGGGTGTATACGTTGGATCGAGTATACGGCCCCTCCCTGAACGTGCGCTTTAAGCAGCTTTAAGACAGATAGAACATCATATACTGGTCTATTACAAAGGTGAAAATAAATTGCAAGGAAGATCATAAAGTCGATCAAAAATTTATATGATTCTTACCGCATAACAATATCCCGACCACAACAACCGCAACCCGTACAGCCATACCTGCAGTGAAAACGTTTAAAACAATCTGTGGAAATTGTTGAAGGTTTTAAATTACGATCACACTTTGAAAAGTGGAGTGATCGGCTGGCTTTCAAGATGTGAAAATGACAGAGAAACCCGGGTGTGGAGAAGAGATTTGTTGGATAATGGTCAGCAGCCTCAACCCCAACGGCGGGCCGACAACTGTTCGCCCTTCTTTAAAACCCCCAACGCTTTTTGCCGTGCCTTTTAGCCCGTGATTTGTGGTCGGAAGTTGGGGAAGAGGAGGAGTAGAACGGAGTTGAGATGAAAAATGGGCTGAGCTCGTGATGGGTAAGGTGTGAGTCACATTAAAGTGAATCAAATGCAGGTAAATTTTCAACAATTCGAGCAGTGAATGGTTGGCTTGCGTGCGACTCTATAGAAATTTCTATGGGTAAGAATTTTCAGGTTCAAACTATATAAAAATTCTTTTACTTCCACCCTTCAAAATATTTAAAAAAGAACGTGAAAAGGAAGTGTTATTGGTAGGTAAGGTACATTAACACTTTTATTTCTATAAAACCCCTGGTTATCTTCTAAAATGTTCTAACTCTCAACTCTTGCTCAAAGCAAATTAGAGCATGAGTGTCGGGCTCCAATTGAAAATAGGCATCGTTTGGAGCATAACGTACACGGGATAATATAATTCACAGAGAATTAGTATAAGGTATAAATACATACCAAAAAGCATAGAATTAATCAGAATTAGAATTGTTCTAAAAAGGTGATACGGTAGGGTACGTAAATTAGGATAAATCTATTGTATCCTACCTTTGAAAACAATCGTCAAATGGAACGTAGCGTACGTGATCTGTAATCTGTATTTTCCCAAATAAATTCTGAACCTTCTGGCCTTTCATCAACAAAATGGGCGACAACCCCTGCTCAAGCATATTCAATTCACCTCCCGTCCTGCAGGGTCAGCATATCCTAGCAGGCATCTGATCAAATTTTCCGGCTTTCAGCCACCTCATATCTACTTTTTTACAACACTCCCCTTCTTGTTCCACCCAACCATCCCTTCATCACATCACCAAACCCTCGGCAGTCATCTTATTTTCCGATATTTACGCGCTTCCGCTTTTTGTGGTTGAATAACGGCACAAATTCTGGTTCCCGCTCGCCCGCAGCCGAGCGTGAATACGGCGAATCTTCTTCCCGTTTTGGCATTCCCATTGAAATGGCCTATTTTCGAGATATTCTCATAGAAGTGACATTTCAGGATATGAAGGCGCCGATATTTATTATTATTCGATCGAATGATACGGTAGAGGTGGGTGTTGAATAGCAAAATATTTGTATTCAAGTTGAAAAATAGCTTTCGACCTTTAGAAAAGCGTAAAAATTGATATTAAAATATATAACATTTAGCTCGACGCCAGGAAAGCTGAAAAAATGTTATGGCATGTCGTTCAGATTGAATGGCAAAAGAAGTATGGTAATCAGGTTGGTTTTCTGGGTTTCCAGCATTAGACAAGCTGCATTAATAGTAAATATTGACAATAATACTGTTTTGAAATTTTTGATACATAAAAATAATTTTTTTTTACTGTCACTCTCCTTTTAAAATAGCAAGAGTCTTGTTTTAACCTCATCTCTCCGGAACATTCTACCCCCCCCGAACATTCCCCCCGAATGGCCTTTCAGCACTTTTGCCTTGGCCCCTGATATGAATAGCGGAACATGGCATATTTTTTTCTTTGCGCGAGCCCCTGACGGGCGGCTTTCACTGGCAAATCTCGGCGGATTAGGGGCCCTGGAGAGGGAATATTGTCTGGCCCTACAATTCCGTCGAGCGCCATTCGCCAGTTCCCACTTTTTTGGGAAGTCGGCAGTCTTGATGTTGAATCTTTTTATGTGCTATAAGGAATTGATGCATCTTTTTCTTTAAAAGAGACGTGACAGCTAAGAAAGTGATTTGTTGGTTTTGACGTGGTCTTTATGGAACTTAAAGTGAAATTGAAAAGTAGTTATGCGTTGATTCAGTGTTTTTGGTAACCGTAGGCCTCTAAGTTTATATAGCTCTTTCTCTCTCTCTCTCTCTCTCTCTCTCTCTCTCTCTTTCTCGCCCTCTCTCTAACGTTCTCACCCTCCCTCTCCCCCTCTATCCCTCACTCTATCACTCACTCTATCTCGCCCACACTCTCTAGCTCTCTCTCTGTCACGCCGTCTCTCTCTGTCTCTCGCCCTCTTTCACCCTGTCTCTCGCTCACTCCCTAGCCTTATCTCTCCATCTCCCTCTCACTCGCTTTCCCTCTCTCTCCATATCCCTCTCTCTCGATCTCTCGCTTTCCCTCTCTCTCTCTCTCTCACTCTCTCGCCCTTTCTCGCTGGTTCTATCTCGCTCGCTCGGTCTCTCCAGGCTTTCCAACTTTCCAACTTCCAAACCCCTTTAACCAACCAAGCCACCCCCATAAATCTCTCCGTGTCCACCCCATTCGTTCGTTTCCCCTATTTTTTCTCCCGTTCATGCCAGCGGTCCGGAAAATGCGGGGGTCTAATCGGCACACGACGAACATTAGTTGACGGCCAGAAGGCCCCAGCGCGTGGATATGGCCTCTGGCCACTTTCAGTCTCCCCCCCAACCAAACGCGCGCCTTATAAAAACCCGAAGATCTTAAGGGACTGGAGGTCTCCAGGAAGTCAATTACTTTGCTGCCGGCTAGGCATGTATGTCTTTTGAGGGTGGATTGGAAGAGGAGAAGAAGGAGGAGGAGGATGTGGAGGAGGAGGATTGCTATTTGGCAGCGGCCACCATTTTGCTCCAATGAACACATTTCCGACCACGTATCCCGGATCTACGTCTGGACATGCTGGAGTTGTGGGTGGTGTTCGGTGGCTAGGAGGAACTAGAGCTTATGCTCACGTTTGCTTCTCAACTCCCTTTCAAAGTTCAGGCCACCTTCCTAATTTCCAGACTATACTCAATTATTAATTAACTTTTTTTACTAGAATCACCCGTCGCCCCTCCTTCCTTCTCCCCATTTCGACATTTCATTCGCCACTCCCGACTGCTTGTGCCCCTTGTTTTTCGAATTTTTCTTGGGGATTCTTCCCCCGCCGCTGGCCATCCCAAACCATCCCATTCCTCCTCCCAAAAATAAAACGCATAACTTTCCCTCAGGGCGTCTGGCCCCAACATTAAATTCCCTGCTCTGGGGCGCACATCACTCTATTTTTTTTGCGGTGGAAAATATTTTCTATTTTTTTTGTTTCTAGGTACTTTCCCTTAAAATTCTATGTATAAGGTTTTGGACTTTCATCCATGGGCTACGCAGCCCTTCATTAACGAGAGCGAGAGAGAGAGAGAGAGAGAGAGAGAGAGAAAGGGAGAGATAGGGCGAGAGGTAGAGAAAGAGGGATAGAGAGAGCGAAAGATAGAGAGCGAGAGAGAGAGAGGGAGAGAGAGAGCGTGAGAGAGCGAGAGGGAGATAGAGAGAGAAATAGTGAGAGAGAAAGGAAGTGATGAAAGAGAGCAATAGGAGAGTGAGGGCGTGATGAACAAACCGAGAGAGATAGTGAGAGAAGGAGCGAGATAGATAGAGAGACAGAGAGAGTGAGAGAGAGTGAGAGAGTAGGAAAAGATTATCGAAAATTGTTTATTTTGACTACACACTATCCCTTTAACTCCCTTGGACTCCTACACTCCTCCAAAATCCATTTTCGCTTCACATCACCAAAATCCCACAGCTTTTTGCTCGTTGACCTCCTGGCCCCGGGGTTCCCATGAAATTTGCTTATTGTTCCCGAAAAACGTTTCACATCGTAATCAGCCTGGGATTGTAGCATGGGCTGGGAGCCTGGGAAATGGCGCACCGTGTTTTTTGGTTTTGCCCCTGAATTCGGGGGAAAATTTGATGAAACGTTGATTTAGTGGATTCTGGGTTTCAATATTTATTTGGGCCATTTGAAATATTTTAACGAACGAAGCCGCCTCTGAAAAAATCAGATGATCTTAGCTGTTTTTTCAATGCGTAATGAATTATTGCTGGAAAGCGACGTGTTTTAAAATATAGAGTCTATAGCCAAAATAATCCATAAACAGCCGTTACCTTAAAAATAATATTAACAATCTTTTTCTTCAATCTCTGAGCCCTCAACCACGACCCCTTTTCTACTTTTCCAGGCACTTGTTTTTCGAGTGGCTCTCCATTAACGCCATCCATTACACAACTCACCCATCCATTCCCAAAAAGGCCACACCTTATATGACAATTTCCATCAAATTCTTTATAATTTAAAAGAACTATTTTCTTTTGCTAATTCTTGCAAATTTTCCAATGTTTTGATTCGCCCCCGCTTTCCAGGTGTCTCTAAGAATTCCCACATCACTTTCCCTCAATTCAAGGTATCCTCGGTGATCGCGGTTTCGAGGTAGCCCATTTTTTGTGTGTGAAAAGCTTGAAGCCGCCTTCCCGGCTAGCCAACGACCCGATTCCGGTTTAATGGAGTTGGAGGACGAGGTGGGTCATACTTTTGGAAAAAATGGATATTTTATGGGGAGCGACGGGAGGGGTGTTGGGAAGGGGGCGCCGACGGCATTTCCGCTCGAGAAGTGAGCACTGGTTTTGTTTTTGGTGTTTTAGCTATTGAAAATCGTAAAGAACCATAAGAAAGCTATTTTAAATTGTTTGAATGTCGCGTCGATTGATTTACGCTTTCCAGCAATCATTTCCAGATGATTTTCCATCTCGCCGATTTCAATTTTCCCAAATTTGGATTGAAAAGATTTTCCTTTTCGTGGTTTCTATTTATGCGTGCTAAATAATGTACTAGACTATTAGCAAGATCGTATTTTTGAAAAAAATGGATACTTGATTCTAAGCGCCTTTAAAAAAACCCGACTATATTGAATTTTGTGTAAATTCCAAGAAATTAGAACTACAGTAGCTTTAGAACGGCTAGAAACCGATCTTCGCTCTACCATATCTTCTTCCCCCATCTCTTGCTCCCCTTTCTCAAGCTCTCAAGTCCAAT